TCCTCAAGTAAGTAAAGAATATATCAATGTTATACTCTTTGCTGATCCATTGAGTTTGAGTGATCCAATGAAGTCCACAAATGCTATGAAGTGAGAGAATGCCATGGAAGAAGACTACAAATCACTCATACAAAATGAAACATAGAAATTCACTCAACTTCCACCAAATTAATCTTCAATTGGTTGTAAGTGGGTGTTTAGAACCAAAAGAGATGCAATAGACAATGTTATGAGATACAATGCTAAATTAGTTGCCAAAGAATACTTACAAGTTGTTGGAGTTGATTTCAATGAGACATTTGCTCTTATGGCCAAATTCACCACCATTAGAATCATTATGGCAATTGGAGCAACAATAGACTTGGAGATGCATCAAATGGATGTGAAAATGACTTTCTTGAATAGAAAGTTAGAAGAAGACATCTATATGGATCAATCACAAGGATTTGTTAAAGATGGCAAACAAGACCTTGTTTATAAGTTGAAGAAATCCATGTATGGGTTCAAGCAATCTCCAAAGATATAGTATTAATATATTCATACATTCTTTGTGAATGAAAGGTTTGTAAAGAGTGAAGGTAACCATTCTTTATATGTAATGCAATCAAATGAATTCATATTGATTGTCATCCCCTATGTTGATGATTTGATCATCTCAATCAATTCTATGAAGATGATGGATTGATTGAAGGCAAAGTTAGAAAAAGAGTATAAGATGAGTGATTTGGGATAGCTTCACTATTGTTTAAGAGTGAAGTTTGTGAGAGATCATGCTAAGAAGACCATTACAATGCGCCAAAATAAGTATATTAAAGAAGTGTTGAAATAATTCAACGTAGATGAGTGTAAGCCTATTGAAACACCTTTGGATGCTAATTTGAAATTGATGAAGCTCACGAAAGAAGAGTTTACTGAAGTTGAAGGACAAATACAAGGTGTTCTATAGAAGGTAGCAATGGACTCACTAATATATGAAATGATTGGCACAAAGGTGGATCTTGTATATGTAATGACTGTTGTGAGCCAAGACATGTCAAAGGTTCAACCAATCCATTGGCCAACGATCAAAAAGATCATAACGTACTTAAAAAGTACTTTGAACTTCAAATTATGTCTTAGGTATGTAGCTAATAGTCAAAGGGTTGACTCTTGATATATAAAAAAATCATCCTATAGATATAGGACAAGGTCAAGGACCAAAAGTCAAAATCATGAGGATGAAGTATGAACTAGAGAATATCGAAAAACTATGTAACAGTAATTAGTGTTTGGTATAGGATATCTTTGTAGTTGGAAAGATGCCAAAGGATCCAAGGATCATAAGATACCCTTGAAGTACATTAGATACAAAACGATCCGAGGACCTAAAATCATGTGTGTAAAAGTCAAAGAGTGGAACTTGTCTTATAGGTCAGCAACCACAACTTATAAATATTGGGTGTTGGAAGTGAGAAACATCTTACTCCATACTCTCTTTATGTACAACCTTGCAGATGTTATGTGTTGTGACTTTAAAGTTCTATTTCTTCGATTATTATACATATACAGAGGCAACACCAAGGCCATTTTTGGTCTTGATAATGTCTTTTAACATTCTATTTTTTAATTTTGGATTTTAAAGTTTCTTGATACTTGACAATAATTGTGTTAATATCTTTGCATTTTTAAAAAATAAATCGTTTTAATTTATTTTTATTTTTTAATTATAAATTTTTTTTTATATATATATATATATATATATATATATATATATATAAAGTATATCTAGATTCAACTCTTTAATAACTTAATAAGAATAATAATTTTGATATTAACTTTTGTTCTTTTTAATTAAAAACTGATTCATCAATTGATATTAAAAACCTTATTAAAAATTGGAAATTGGAAATTATCCTATTTCAAAATAATATAATTATGAAAACACAAATCTTATATGTCCAAATATTTTTGAATGATATTAGAGTTTGTATTTTGGAATATAATATGAATAATTTAAATTTATAAGAAATAATTAAAAATATGTAATAAAAATATTAATACTGAAAATTACAATCCAAAAATATATATATATATATATATATATATCAAACATACCATAATAAATTATAATTAGTGAAGATAGTATAAAGGTAGTAGGAACTTTTTCAGCCTATATATTCCTTTAGACAACTCTTTTTATTACATTTCATTGTACAAAGGAATTATATCTAATATGTTAGGTGTAACTTGATATAAATTAGATCTTCTACTTATTAGTCAAATACACTCAATTTTATACAAATAAATAAATAATACAAGTGGACTTTCTAATTATTGCAACTAAAAAGTGATTTAAATAATCGTACAATTGATAATATTAGGGCTAGAGTGCTTGCTCCTATACTATTTTTTGTACAACTTAAATCTTACACAATCCTAAAATACATCTTAACATTAATACAATTTTTTTTGCTTATATGTAAGAAAAAATCTAAATATATTGTCAAACATTGACCAACAAAAAACCACAAAAAACAAAACAAAAAGTACATATATAAAAGAAAATAATTATTTTAAGAGATAAGTTTTTTTCATAGTTACAAAAGAATTTTATATGATATCAACATATAATATATATATATATATATATATATATATATATAAATAATAAAAAGATTACATGGTTTGTAATTACTTATTCTTAGATTTTAGAGATATTTTCTTGTAATTTTTGTTTAAAGTTTTATGAAATATTTTTAGAGAAAATAATTAGCCAATGTACAAAAAAATCATAAAAAATCTATATTTATTTTTGGAACATATTATATATAAAATCACACCTATGAAAGTAATTTAATAGAAATATAATAGCATAATTATATTTGAAATCATTTAATTTCAAAATAATCTTATTATTTTAGATTTAATCTTATATCATATTATAACTATTTGGTAAGTTGGATATTTTCTAGTCTCGGATTTTGTTTTAATAATGTAGTACCAAAACAAGAACTGTGAATGAAGTAAAAAAAAAAATCAAAATTCTATCTAAAAATAAAAATATAATAACTAATATGCATTAAAAAGGGAGAAAAAATAGAAAATTGAATGTTAAAATAAATATACATGATGTGAAAACATTATAAGTCCATTAGATTAACAAATTTTTTCTTTTTTCTTTTCTTTTTTCTTTCCTAAAAGTGTGATAAATGAAAAAAACATACAATATATTCAATTCTTTTTTATATTTACTAATTCAAATAAATTCTGTATGGATAATTATTTCTCTTCTTATGTATTTGACTTATAAAACATAACACAAAGATGCAATAGACATATTCTATTTTTTAAAAATTAAAATAATTCACATTTATTCTGATTTTAATTTTAAGCTTTAAATAATTTTAACATTATTATTTTTATTTTTTTAAACTCTAAAATATTTTTAAATCAGTTTTAATGCAATAAAATGCATTAGATTTGTATTAAATATTTCAATATGATATTTTATTTCTTATGTTCAACAAAATTCTTATAAAGTAAATAAAAGACTATATTTTATATTTTATATTTTAAAAGATTTTTTGGAAGATTGTTCATTATACATTTTTTCTTAGATATAAGAATTTATTATATATGATGATATAAAATATAAGGTGATAATTAGACCAATTGGTCTTAAAAGTCTTTGCTATAATATTTAGGAATATAGTTTTAGATTTTACTATTATCATAGAAATTTTTATTATACTTTATCATTGTAAATAAGTATATTATTTTTATTTTACTTTTTTTTTAAATTAGAAAATTACATGCATCATTTGATAATTATTTATCTATAATTATTTTGATTGTTAGAGAATAATTGAAACATATTCTAAAGCACAATCTTTTGATTTATATAAAGACAAAATTGAAGAATTAAAACTATAATTATTTTTGAAAAAATAATTGAAATTGAAATTTTAAATTATATATATATAAGAGAATGATAAAGCAATCCAATTTTTTTCTAAAGCAACTCACTCTATTTTAATCATTTATTGCACTCTTGCAGCCTCCATCCCTATTCTTAGCCATTTTCCATTCCCAATGGTTACTAAGGATAGGAGCAAGGGGCTCAAAATATCAAGAACAGAGACAACAATTGGGAATAGGGAAATGATTAGGAACAAAAATTGGGTTGAAAGGATACAATGATGGTTTAAACATGTGGATTGATTTAGTAAAAATTTGGGTTGCTTTATCATTTTCCTATATATATAGACACAAAATATAAGAATCCATGATAAATTAAAGGCACAAGGATTATGTAATTTTCTTTTTTTTCTTTTTTTTATTTTATAGTTGCATATGGTATAGTTATTGTTGCTATTGTTATTTATTTCACAAATAGAATGTGTGTTCTAAAAATAATTTTTGCATGTGGATGCTTATTATAATTTTTTATGTAATATCAACAAAATATACTAGAATATTTCTTGGCTAGATTATTTGCATTGAAAATCAATATTACATTACTTATTATTACTAATCTATTACTTATTATAAATCATTTATTTTAAAGTAAAGAAAGAGACTTAAATGCTTCAAGGATTATTCTCATGTATTCCTTTGTCCAAGTGATCTTAAATATTGTAACTTCTATAATAAAAGGTAAGGATTTAAATCAATAAGCCAAAAAAAAAAAAAAATCAACACATTATAGAAATATTGCATTACCATTCATAAAGTATTGCTTTGCTCTTTCCTATTACTTCCACTTTATTGTTTCTCCCATCACAACGCAAGGGTCCCTAGGCACTTAATAACACTTATAAGAAAAAAATGTGGGAAAAATTATAAGATTAACAAAAAAGAAAAAGGTTAGAATATTAAAAGGGTAAATAGTAACTAGTTAATTAACGAGTACAGGATACTAGTAGTGAGTCGGTTAAAGACACGCTTCAAAGAATGCGAGATCGGTCGCCACGGTGGACAAGTGCGGGCGAGGAGAGGCGCCATAGCCGGTTATGGCTATGGCCATGGCCTCACCGTGGCTATGGCGTCGCGCGACGCACAAGAGTCGAAGCGCGATGATCCACCGCAACCATCAACTTCCTCCTCAACCGCGATGGGGGAGACCGACGCGCCTGCACGCACCGGCCCTCTCAAGCTCTCGGACTCCATGTGTGCGCCCCAGTACGCCGCTTCTTTAAAATGTGAGGTCACTAACACCGAAATGTCTTGTGGACTTAACTCTTCTTTTGTGTTTGCCTCTTGTCGATGCTGGCTTAGGTCTTCGAATTAGTTAGTTAAATTGTATTGAGCATGTTTTGATTCGTGGCGCGTGGAATTTTTTGGTGGGTTTTCTCTTTACCAGCCGCTCTTTACATAGCATATGTCCGCATCAAGGCTGATTAGGTCGTGTAGATGGTTATTCTCTGAATTGAATCCCTTCGCCTGATGCATGATTTTTATATTTATTTTATTTTTCCATTTTTTGAGAATATAGCGAGAATCGATAGTTTCGCATCCCGCAGCGATCGTGTATGGTTCCACTACGCCAGTTTAAAAGGTTTGTTTGAACGCCTTGAAGTTAGCAGGGCTGATACTTGTATGGAAATTGGAGTTGTGACAGGTTTGGACGAAGCCAATTATGATAAGAGTAAGTGTCAGGATCACTTCGATGCTTACAAGGAGTGCAAGAAGCAAGAGGTAACGGTTATGTTCAATTTTCTTCGCGAACACTTCAAGTAGTGATTATTTGTGTGTGTGTGTGTATCAACTCTGAGAGGTCTATCTTCCGGTGAAACGTATCACCACAATTATCATTTTATAGCTGTTGTTAAAACCATGTCACATGTTGAATAGAATGCCTCAAATTACGAGGTCGAGGGATTAAGCTGTTTTTTTTTGTGTATGTCGTATATTCCTTTGAGAAGTTTTAACTATTATTTGCTTGTGAAAAATGCGCTTTCTAAAGTTACCCATGTTTTGCTTTCGTCATGAGTGGAGAGTGCAATGAAAACAAAAAAAACTCCTGCTAAAGTTTCAATTTACGGGTGTGAGACATTTAGGCGTACATTGTACATTTCTATCAAGTTCTCTTTTCATCTGTAGTGAACGGGTAGAAGTAGCTCCTTGTCTGTTTGCATATTTCTCGATATACCCCACATTCTTCATCGCATCACTGACTTTTTCAATGCTGCAGAGGGAACTACGCCTTGAAGCCAATCGAAAATCCAAAAGTTTTTTCTGAGTTCTTGCAAAGTCGTAACAAATCAAATGCTGGTCCTCTTTCATTCACGGTAAGTATACATACTTTCTTTCTGGTTCTTCAAATGACGCTGATTTGGTGTTTTAGATTACTGATGTTACTACATTGAATTGAGGTGATGGCTCTATTTGTAGGTAGCAAATCGAAGTGTAAGGCAGAAAGCTTCGAAGGAGTTGGTGCTCCAACCAGGAGAACCATGTAGTGTTAGCCCATGTAGCCTTGGACTGCAGTCCTTCAATCCTTCAATTACATTAGTATATGGAGGGATGGACAAGATGACTAAATAGTTGAAAGGATAGATTTTTGTTGGAGCTCTCGTCACTTATGTGGAGAGTACGAAGCCAACAGCAAGTTGTTCTAACTTCACTCCGTTGAGAATGCCAGTCATTTGATGTTCAACTTTCCAAAAGAGAGGCTGAATACATGCGAGAGAATTTAGGTACCACTCATACATATTGTCTGACCTTGTTGATGGTAAAAAAAAAACATTTGCTAGGATGTGATGAGTTATAGCCTTGTGGTTGCATTAGTGTACGTGATAAGTCAAAAAGATCTCCTTCTACATCTTCAGATTTTTCCACATTGGATCAGAAGTTTATGATAATCACTAAATATACATATCTGTTTGAAAGGTCATCATTCTCTGCACTTAACCTTTTGTTGAAATTGATTGTTCAGAATCTTAGCTTGCAAAACATTGAATTGTATTGTACAAGTTTATAAGCTGTATTTATAAAGGATTCTTTCTCCTCAAAATTGCAATTTGTTACCCAATTCATTCTTATTGAAAACTTTATATTCCAAAGATATTCTCACAAAAGTTTGTCCCTCCCCCAGTACACCCAGGCTAGAATCCCCGAGAACTTCATGAGGAGTTGTCCTCCATCACCTCATTTCGTCCACCTCTCGCCCGTTACTATTCGCCCGTTAGTATTTAATTATTTTAAGTAGTAAAAAATTATAAAAATATTAAATTACCTCTTGTTATAACATAAAAAGTACAAATCAAATTCCAATGGATATTAAAATATTCCATAATCAAATTTTTAACTTTAATTATTTATTTTTGTTATCAATATTAATACTGCACATGTAATTTTAATTTAAATTAAATATATTTTATTCCCTTGTGAATCTATGGATTGGCACTACTTCATGTTTTAAATTTGAATGCCTTTTCATTCATTTTTTTTTTCAAAAATTCAAAAATTCATATCTTGACATTAATCATGTATTTCTATTAGTCCATATTTGTCTATTTTTATCATTTATTGATGATTTAACATATCTAAAATAATTCTTGCATATTAAATTATGAAATCATTCTTGATATGAATCTATACTTATATTAATCTTTTTTTCAATGTACCAACATGTTATACATCAAAAAAGAAAAAAAAAAAACCCCAAAAAACCCAAAAAAAACCCAAAAAAACAAAAAAAACAAAAAAAACAAACAAATGTCAAAAAACTTATTCTCTACCAAAGTTTCAATTCATCAAAGCTTGTGGTTCAGCTACCTCAAAGCTTGTAATCACTATAATAATTTCACTCAAATCTCTTCTTCCTTTAAAATTTTAAAAATTCTTTAGACAACTTATCATTGTTCCTATAAGTAGGAATAATAAAAAACTTTAAACTTACATCTTACTTAAGTTGTCTAAAGAATTTTGTATAATATATAATTTATATATTGATTTACTTATTTACCACTTGAAGTACATTCTAATCCCTGGCTCCCTAAACCTTGAGGCAAAGTGGGTCGAAAGTCCACTTCTTAAGCAATAGTCTGGTGGGAGAAATGACTAACTCGACATGTAACTCATGTCAGCATTTGGAGTAACCCTCGACGAATTCCAGCCTAGCATGTTTTACTCACACTCAGGGGCACGGGGATACAACCACAGGGATACCCCTACATTGCAAACAGACTCCAATTCTATTATCTATATATATATATATATATATATATTTGGTAGGAATTGTTTCAATATCTAGGATGACACGTTATGTTATTATCGATTACATATTAGCTCTGCCATCAGACAGACTATGTTCTGTTACATATATATACACATATAGATATAGACATTTAGTAGGTTATTGCTCAAACTTAATATATATTAACCATGATGATGGTGAGTGCACAGTGGAGGGTCACAGACTTAAATTCGTTTCATTGATTGGAAAAAGTTGAAATCATTCTTGTGTGACCAAACCATCGTCCTCATAAGAATGATTTCAACTACATCGTCAGATCATAGATGTAAACATGCCACCCAAGATACCGTCTATGGGTGGAGAAACTCTTAGCCCCCCCCCCCAGCCCGGTACACGGCCCCGCACCAGCATCGTCTGCGTCTTCCTCTTCGGTACAGTTTTCGACGCCGCGTCGCGTCAAATCTTGTCCTCGCATTTCAGCGCTGTTGCATGTTGAGATTAACGTTCACAAACCGTTGCTTGTAATTATAAATCCCGTCAAGCACTGATCGAAAACGAGCATTTCGATAGTGGGGAGCAAAAATTACGCTGCATTTTCACCTAGCCTAACCCTCGACTCACTGAAGAAGTATCACCATTCCCCCGCTTTAATTCTCGGAGATGAAACCATCAGATCCCATGAAAAACTTTAAGCTGCCCCAGAGTGCAGGACCTGTCGATCCGCGGCCTCACTGATGAACGTCCAGCAGTCCGCTCAGCAGCTAACTCGACAACCATCTACAAGCGAAACGATCTTGCAACCATAGGACTGAAAGTGAAATGTCACGGCTATGGATTATTTTCCTGTGCCAGCGGTGATGATTTCTATCTTATTCCATGCCATTCCTTTTTTCTAGTAGTTCCGTTATCAGATCTACATTATCGTCTGGTCGATTTCCACGGACGTTGCAACATTACTTACCACAGTACCACAGTACTTGGATTCGATGGGATATTCTCAGAAACGGATCCAGTACCTCAGTTCATTGCATGAGGTACCCAGCAACAGCACTGGTATACACTGCATGAACCAGTTGAGATACTGGTACACTCCCTGGTTCCGGGGCAAATCGTCTAGCATATGAGTAGATCGACACCACCTCAGATGATCCCACACTGCTGCGAGGAACCCATGTCCGTCACGCTCGAGAGCTGTTCCGCTAAACACTCCTGATGCATCATCATCATCTCTCGGACACACCCGTCACCGAAAGCTGCAAAAAGCCCACCGACCGGCACTCGTTGTGGCCCTCCATCGCTCAAATGGTGACGGCGCTCGTCTTGTTCATCGCAGGGGACATCGACCTCAACTGCAATAGTTCACTAGAAACTCAGAACCTCGGATCTGAAAGTCTTTTAGACTCAATGATGGAGGAATCCTAACTGATTGACCGTCTGGCTGTTGAATGATAATGTGCTTCACGTTCAGGCTGGATCAACTGTTCTGGCGTTAACATGGACGACAAGGATGGCCACAAAATACTACTGTAAGGATTGGAATGCTGAGTGATGTACCGGAAAGTACTAAGACGACCACCACAGTGTCCAGTAAGTACCATTGCACCACCACGAGGTTGGAAGCTCTGCAATGGCGACTGGATCAATTGCTTGCTACGCCGACCCGCGCAACAGTTGCGATCATCGCGGATACAGCAACAATCGGTGTCACACTTGCTGTACTCCTCATGGGCTTCATCCTTGCAATCAGTGACGACTACAGCAAAACAAAATATATATATATATATATATATATATATTCATTCATACACAAAAATAATTCAAAAGTAGAATAACGTAACAAAACAACATAACAAAAGAAAACAAACCACCGGAATTGTGGAAAGTGTGCCAGAGTCTCATGATTCTTCACTGTTGTTGAGTGTTGACTGACACAATTGGGTTGAGCAATGCTGCAGGAACTGGTGATTCTAGGATAAGCTATCATCTGAAATTTTGAAGTGTATAAAAGTAATAATAGCTGAACTATTTATCCGCTATTTTAAGAAATCTAATGATGTTGAAATTATTTGTATTTGTGGTCGTGGTTACGGTTAGAGCTTTGTCATGTGATGCGTTTTTTGGTTTTATTTGAGTTTGGATGCCTTTGTGGTTTACTGTATTTGAATGAGTATACAAGGCAAAATTGTATGTTTGGAATGTTTGACGTCTTCATTGAGGGCTTCTGTTACAACTAAATTAGGTGACACATATTTCATCAAAAATATGCAAATAATTGTATATTGTACCAAAATAATAATAATAATAATAATAATAATAATAAAGGATAGTTCAAATGATTGATTCTTTATTTTGGTTCCACCGACGTGCTTATGGAATTCAAGGGTTTAATTCATTGTTGAATGGATGGATTGTTCATAAGTAGTATGTGGAGTTTTGTAGGGGTGTAATTCATGTACAACAAGAGAATGTATTACAAAATTGTATTCTTCATAGAATACAGATGATTTTGTGAATGTATACATGTGTCCTCTTGTTATGCTAGAAAAGAACTTAGTAATTCAGTTTACTTGTTCATTGACAGCCAATTAATATGATGAGATGTCAATCATTGACATGGACCTACTTGTGAAAAACACTACACTTTTTGATTTAAAACGTTTGAGTATATGAACAGTCTTTCAATAAGTGGAAGTGAAAATGACAATCATTTTCTTGTTTGACTCATATCGTTACACATGTGATGCTGATCAAAGCTGTTCTATCTGTTCAAGTGAAGAGCTAAGTAGGAATGACATAAACATATTCACAAGACTTCAAGGAGCCCATTTACAAGTTATCTCAAGTTGTGAAGTTTATTCACACAACGTGAAGATTATGAATACATCAGGAAATTACCAAATTCTTCACCTTATAGAAGGCTACAAATGTTGGATTTTTTCTGCTTCAATCTTCAATATTGAGTTCTAACCACTAAATTACATACTTCAAAACCAACAAGGGTTCGGAAGAGTATCATTCTAGAAGCTAATACTACTAGAATGCACTACTGAAAAGCTATGCTGTTCTGAATATTTCAGGGTTCAGAACTGTGAGGGTCAAGATTGCAACCTCTAAATTAAGGTCGAAAAAGGAGGTTCCTGGTGAAGATGGACACAAAATTTATGTTGTCTCTGATATTGCATGCACCTGTTCGACAAATTTTGGGCCAAAATTTTCCACAAGTGCGAGAATACGAAGATGGAAGCACCATGAGCCAAAGACACCTCAACGACTCTGGGCTACTTTCATCAGAGTAAGGGCGTGCAGCTTCCTGTTCGCCACTTGAAAACTGGCGTAATACCTTACGCAACCACTTAGATGGAATAAACTAATCCACTGGTTGACTGAACCAGTGTGGCATACAATAATCACTGCGGCTGCAATATTGACTGCAGCAATTTAAAGAGAATAGTGCGCCTTTGCAGCATTACATCAGCACTTGAATGGTTTGCTAATAATCAGAGCCTGCCTGAACTGAATACAGGAAGCCCTCTCTACAGCCAGAACTTAAACAATGCGTAACCATGGATTGATTAACATCTACAAAAATGTCTCTGAGGAGGACTTAAAAGTATCGACTTCCCAAGTCAGGGATGTTAAAAACTAACGGAACGTCTTGTTCTTAGACATGACCATTTCTTTCCGTCGCCTCGTCAGCATCAGGCCAAAATACTTTGTGCAGCTCTTGCACACACTTGGGAGCATCATCATCATCCACCACCATTGATATGTTTACCTGCGATCACCAAAATCAAGATGCACTCATAAGCCAAAGTCGAGATAACATGAGCTTCATCCTTTCGGAGCGAAACCCATTAAGCTTTACTTCTGTTAACCGGGTGCAGCAGTGAAAATCCATAAATAGTATGATTTACTACCAGAATACTAAAAAATGCTGTTCGACAAGCTATAAAGAAGACTTTTAGCCGAACTCATTAGTGATATCAGACGAGAATTTCAGAAGACAAATGATAAGCTCATACATACCTTGGAAGCACCTTGTGAGATCATTTGTACGTTGATGTCGTTCTTCTTGAAGACCCTAAAGACCTGTAACAATGGCAGACACATTTGATGAAACACACACTTGAAGAGAAAAATCGAAAACAGTCATGGAAGCAAAGAAGATAAATTTAAATATAAAAGATTTCACTCAGCATTATTGAGTCCTGTACATGAGTCTCAGTTTGCTATCAGAATGGTTTCAATAACGTACTTTTTCAAGAACAGCTGATGACTGCTTCACATTGCTAATGAGAGAAATTATAGACTTCTTCTTTAAAAGTTGTACGTTGGCGATTTTTGACAATTCTGACTTCATTTTGTCCAATTCCTGCTGTAACCACAAACATCTTCAAAATTATCAGCCACATACATAAACCGAGGGTTAGAGAGAGCTGAGGCAATCAATGACTTCATTCCATGCCTTATTAACTACTAAATTGTTACCCATAATATATAGAAGGAAGAGAAGAGTTCAAAATGAATAAATAAATAAGTAAAGTTTCAAAAAATATATAACGCTTTTACATTCTATATTAGAAACAGTATTGACACTTGAACTGGCTTGCCTGTTCAATGAGTTCACGCTCCCAAAGTTTTGAAGGGTCCAACGTCAATGATATGCTAACTTCGCTGGTAGCCACCACATCTACTGAAATGCCTAAATGTTCAAACGTAGTGAACACCTGAACGGAGCAACAACAAACAGTCAGGCTACATCTACCATAGAACACTTATCTTACAACCCCTACAAGCATGTAGTGCTAAATGCAAGAAACATAAGGGCATGCCAATTAACCCAGTTAAATAATACCAATAAATATACAATAAATAAATAAATAAATAAATGAAGGGAATTCCCATACCTTTGCAAGAAATCCAACTTGGCCAAGCATACGTGTGCTTTGAATATCCAACATTGTCACGTCCTTTTTCAGCACTATGCTTGTCATCTCTGCCTGAAAATATATCAAATGGTGATGAATGTAAATAGTCAAATCGAAAGAAGACAATTCAGACAAGTTCATAGCAGAGCCTGATTAACTGATCAGATCATACAAAACAAGCTGTTGGCGGAGCGATTAACTAGAACCCAGAATGAAAAATTAAGCAAAAATTGTGTCCCAAGAATACTTGGAACTAATTGGACCTTAAATCTCTGCTTCTTTTTCGGTGAGCACTGATTAAAAAAGCGAATGCAGAGAAGATTCTGAATCTACAAGAACTAACACATTGCTTTCCAGCGATTTCAGCTTCCCGGCATTGTCAAAAGGCAACCTCATAATCTGGACCAATGGAGTTACCTCACTCATGTCGCGTTCCCCTGTTATGAGAGTACCAGGTGCCTGTGGGTTATAAGAATTCTTGACACGAACAGGTATGTTTGCATCGCGGGCTGGTCTCATTGACTGAGGATGTAAAACCTAAAGCCATGCAGTGAACATCAACGCTAGATTAAAATTCACGCATACATGCAACAGCGGCCGGACTGCGAATATATTGCAGAAGGATCTAAAATACTACACCTCTAACATTTCGTTTCAAAATCCCCTGATATTTTCCACACTTAAAACAGAACAACTTCACGACATACACCTAGACCCTTAGATTTGAGGAGCTGTAATACCTGGGCTCCGAAATAAGCCAGCTCAGATGCCTCATCAAAGGTCAGGAATGGAACTGGTAATGCATTGGAGTATACACGGGGATCACATGTCAGGACACCATCAACGTCTTTCCACACCTGTCCACAAGTCAATGCAGTGCAAAATAAGATCTACTAAGAGAGGCCATGGTAAAAATTGAGGAAGAGCACCCATAAACTTTCTGTTAATATGGCATGTGTCAATTAGATGAAGTCCCAACTCAAGCACTTCATTCACCTGAATTTCCCGGAGACCTAGCGCTTTACCGAGGGCTGTGGCCGTCAAGTCGCTCCCTCCTCGTCCTAAGGTTGTTACACAACCAGTCTCAACCCCCTGCAAGGATAAATCAATGGAATGGTTGATCAATACTAGAAAAGATTTTTCGATTAAACGTGACACGAACCATCAACGCAGAGAGATAAAAGGCGAATGTTTGAGCAACTTGCACGAGGTCTAAGCTAGTACTTTGCGCTCACCTTACCAAGGAAGCCTGTCACAACGCATATGGGTGTACCCCTATCAGCGTCGGCTTTAAGATCTTTAAGAAGCCTCTCTCTTACTGTCGGGTATGTGACCTCCAGGATTTCAGCATTCGTGAACTCATCGGTTGTAATGATTCCGAGGTCAAAAGCGTCATACTGATTGGCCCATCCGGACAATCAGAATCCAGTTTCAGTGGTAGGCAAAATGTACACACTTAGGTCACGAACATAAGATCGTGTAACTATACATGTTCAATACAATCATACAAATTCACGGACCTGTCGAGCGTATGTCCCGATGCTATTCAAATAGGCCGTGAATAGCCGGGTTGAGAGGCGCTCTCCAAAGGAAACCAGGTAATCCTTGGTGCGCAGCGTCAGCTCCTTCATAAGAGCAATCCCCATTACCAGCTGTTCCAACTCTTCAAAAAGCTCTGCACCAGAAGAAAGACAAGTTGTGAATATTTATGGGATAATCCTATCACATAACCGACTACGTAGCATGTTCGGTTGCAGACCCTGGGAACAGGTGAGTCGTTTTATTTGACAACCAAACATCAATATGTTTCTAAAGAACTCAAATTTCACGGAAATAATACGAGGAAGTCGCAAGAATCGGACCTGTGACCAAAGATTCATCCACTTTGAGTTCACGTGCTGTCCTGCCAATGCTCACCAACCAGACAACGGTGTAAGGATCACTCAATTCAGCACCAAAATACTGCCATTAACATCACTCGTGGGTGATGTTTAACGCATCCGCAGGCCTGAAATGAGAACTAAACCGCTAAACCACAACTCCTTCCACAATTCATCAGAAACCCTGAAGAAATCTCCAACCACACGTAGCTTCGTCACTACCGCACCCTCAAAGCATTTTGTAACACGAAACTCAAACAGAGTTCATCTTTCCATGTACTCCTCGACCAAAGCTACTACTCAGAATGTATACAGGAAGAAATGGGGTGAGATGTACGTCTTATGCAGGTCTCTGATAACTTGGAGCTCCTCAATATTGCCGGACTCCTCGACACCACATGACACGGCTTTTTCTCCTGCCTGTCAATCCAAGCAAGCATCGTTTTCTTTTCTCAAATTACGTCTAGATATGAGAGCACTTTCATCTCTAAGCCTGGGCATTACTATGACAGGTGATATTTCAGCTCCAAAACCCTGATAACAGTGCAATTCGGCGCTCATCTGCTTCCTGACCGAGAATGGAGGCGATGAAACCAGAAGTTACAAACACCGCCAAGACAGACCCCACTTGAGTTAACTAATAACAATGCCATCAGCTCTCAACCATTAATCATGGAACACCCATCGCTGCATTCCCTCACTCCTCTATTTCCAACCATTCCACAGCATAACCCTCAATGAGCAAACCTTCAGAAGGTTGTTTGTCGTCTTTCCCATAGCAGATAACACAATGACAGGCCTCTCATCCGGAAAACTCAAAATCAGTTGCGCCACTTCTCTCATTCGGTGTGCGGAGGCGACAGACGAACCCCCAAACTTCATAACCGTGGTAAAATCGGAGCTCAACCGCTGCTTCTGTTCCTCCTCTACTCGCTGCTCCACCAGCGCCACGCCCGCGTCACAGCGCACCCGCAGCGACCCCGCCGCATTCCTCCACTTAGCTGCATTTTCAACAAATTTCCACGTCTGCAACTTCCCTCCGAAAAAATACAGCGACGATGACGACTCTAATCCCCGCCCCCGAGCAGTGTGCGCAAGATTCAAAGCCCTGTATTGGATCCCAGAGCAACCACACGACGACGACGTAGGGGCAATGAAGACCAGAGATGAGACCGCCATAGCAGCCACGGCCTCCATCATGAAGAAAACGCCCTCCAAAGAATCCAAGAAGCCCGGAAGCGCTGGATTGGAAGAGCTAGGGTTTATGCTGCAACCGCAACCACAACCACAACGCCTCCGAAAAACAAAAACCTGCGAGGAAGATGACCAAAAATGAATGGGGAGAGGATGCGAGCAGGAGCCCTAAACCCTACGATTCCCTCACTCCCTCCCCTCCAATCAAATTGCCGTAGGGCTCCAGCTAGGATCGTCGTCCTTTTTAGTGAGTTGCCGATCTCACTGAGTCTGTCCTGCCGATTTCACTAATTTTCTTATTGCTCATTGGCTCGTGCTGAGCTCAGCAAGTTTAAGGGCTCATTAATCACGAGATTTGTTCTCTTCCGCTGGGAACTGAGGACCACATGTCGTGCTTTGGCTTAACGTGTGCTTCGTGCTGTTCCCCACCGTACTAGATTCAGATTCCGAGAAAGCTCGGTTCAGGTTCTTATAAAGTGGATTTAAAGGTATCGGTTCACGTTATGATCCAATGGAAGCCAATGTGTGAGATCCTTTTTTGTGAAGGACATTTTGACTCTTTCAAAGATGCGACCTTCCATAAAGATATTATGATTGGGAAAATGGGCTTGGAATATCTAGAAAGAATGTGGTCTCAAATATAAGTAGATATAAAACTAAAGTTAATGAACGTGTGATACAATGGATAAATGTGTTGTCTCTTAGTCCCACTTTAATTTACATGTGGAACTTGTGTTCTTTGAGATTGGATAATTGTTTCTTTGTTAAAAAATTGTACATGTGTCCCAAAAATACAAATATCTATTATATAAAGCACCTTAGACATAAGATAAAGAGACAAATAAGTATTTTAATTGGATGTTGAAAAAGAAACTTGGGAAACAAAATGGTTGGAACCTTACTTATTCCTAAGAACCAAGATGTTGTCACCTTAAGAATTCTCAATAATTGCTTCATTTCCAATAATTGTTTTATTCTTAAGGTTGAGCATATCCAATTAGTCATAATTGTGATTGAATTTTCCTTTAAGTCAATTTTGATGATATATTGAACAGTAGCTATTACATATCACTTATTGAAATATGTCATCTTTGTTATGGTATCCAAAATGCTCTCAACATTTACTATAGACATATGTGTATTTGGTCGTGACAAACTTCGTACATAAAAATATTTAATAACAAGTCTTGATGTGAAGAAACTTACAAGACGATGCAAGCTCCAATTCAAACTTCATCTATGCAAATCTCCAATTCTTGCCATTGCTTTATAGTGCATTAGTTTTTTAATGGTCTTTTGGTCTTCATTGATGGGAGATGTGTTCTCTAGCATGATCTAGAAGCAACGCAAGAAGAAACAAAGACTAAGAATGTACTGCCTTAATACATGGATAAGTGGAGTTTTGCATTTCAATTTGAATTTGATGCAAAATTGGAGAAGAGCATAGCATTTACATATCATTTTCAAGCTCCTCAAGAATGATTTATCACCATTCATGATTTGATTTATGGTAAAGTTTACAAATTATCACACGTAACTTTGTATTTAAGTAATTTTTTTTAATTGTCTTAAATAGATAGTCTAAAATACAAATAATGTTGGTTTTACTAGAATTATGTTGATGCCAATGCCATAGTTAATGCACATAGTTTTCACTTAGTTTGTAATAGATGCCAAGTTAATGCCATAGCCAAAGAAAATTACAACTTTAGAAAGTTTGATGAGGACATTTTTTTTTTAAAACCTTGTCAATCAATGGCAATAAGTTTGTCTAAGAAAAGTTCCCAAGTTGTCACTTTTCTTTTCAACAAAATATTATTCTTGAAATCAATTGATTCAAAAAGTCAATAAAGAGGCATATCAATTGGAACCACACTAGATTTTAGAAGATATATCAATGGAAATCAATAACATGTTCTTATTCAATAATTGCAATAATTATAGAAAATCTAAGTCATAGCCAAATAGCAAGCACAAAGTGAATGACTTACATGGTAAAATAAGTAACAACTTTCACCAAAGCATAAGAGTTACTATGAACAACAACAATATAACATTGATTGAGTCTAAATATTATGACTTTGAATCCAATATAAAAATGGAACCTACAAGAGAAGGTACTATTGCTATGAAGCAAAAACAAATCAACTAATTTAACCTTGTAATCAGAATTAGGCAGAATATAACTAATATGTATTATTTCAATAACAATGAGATGAGACAAGGGAGAAAGGAGACCAATAATGCACATGCACACGAGGACAAGCACTACACTCTCTAATTGCAGCAAATGGGTGTTTTTGCTAGTGAATGTAGAAAAATGAAAATTAGAGACATAAAAAAAATGGAGAATTACAAAAGTAAGAATAACCAAGGCAATACTAGGAAAAAAAACATGCGGAGAAGGGCAAGTAGAAAAGGGCAACAGAAAAAAGAAAGCAACATGAATGTATTAAGAAAGAAGTGTATAAATATAGATAATAAGATATTATTTGTCTTCAAGCCAATGTTATGGATACTTTGAATTTAGCATGTACATACAAAAACATTTAGTTTTAATAAACTAATCAAGTGGATACATATTTCAATATAATAAGAAATATCCCTTAGATAATGGAATTGGTTTCAAAGAAGATAATACTTCCATATTTGCAAGATTATACTACTTCAAGGCTATAGTATATTGCTATTGATTATGATTTCTATTTCGTTTGATTGTGATGTAGCTAATAAAAGAGACAATGCACTTTATTATACATTTTCATTATGCAAAGTAATAGACATAGTTTCAACAAAATTTGTTTGAATAGAATTATATTATTACTATTGTAAGTACATTAATGTTGTTAAATTGTAGTGAATGATATAATATGTGTATTGAAGTTGAAAACTTAAAGAGACTTAATGAACTCCGCCTTAAGTATGATTTTATGTGCATGAGAGACAAAGAGTACAAAAGAATTACAAAAACTTGTGGAATGTACAAGATCTCATAGAAACTTAGTTAATACATAGGGATCTATGGAAACTTAGGGAATGCCAAAGAATGCATGGGAATCCATGGAAACTCAAGAAATACCAAGAAACACATGGAAATGCATGAAAATTTGCAAAAACATATAAGAACATTTTTTTTTAATCCAATGCCATGGATTTCTACTTCTCCAAATATGATCAACATCTTATATCCTACAAAGAATAAAGATAAAAATACCACCATAAATGTAGTTTATTATGAATTTCTTTTAATTTTATTATTTAAGTTGTAGTAAATAAAATTTATGTTTTTCAATTGCACAATAGAAACACAAATAGTTCCATTGTTATGTATATACTCTTTTCTTTTCTTTTTTCTTTTTTTCTTGGTCAAAATTTGTTTATATAGTTTATTTTGAAGATATGTATTATCTACAAAGTTTAAAAAGTTAAAAATAAAAAAATACAATTATTATTTTTTTTTATTTTATAAATTAAAATATTCAACTCTTATATCTTTGAAAGCTTGTTATGACACAAAAAGTTGATCCAACAGCTACACTCTCAAAGTCTCATGCTTAAAGTTACATAATTAAATTATTATTCTTTTTGTATTAAATTATGGCAAGATTCTTTCATTTCGGTAGTTGTTTATCAACTATTCTTATTTATATACATTTTACAGTAATTTGCTGCAAACAAGATATTTCTCCCCCCTTCAACCAAAAAAAACCTTGTTTATTACTTCTGAATTGCAAGAAGAACAACTCTATATTATTTTTTTTAAAAGAAGAAAAATAAAAGAAAATCATGAAGGTTATGGATGTCGAGATGTATGTGTGTATATATATATATATATATATATATATTCAAATAATTTCATAACATAAACATTGTTACTTCATTAAAGGTTATAAAATTCATCACTTGTAACTATATTTGTAAATAGCTACAACATTTTATCATGAGATGATAAAAAAAAACTAAAAACAAGGTTTGTCGTACACAAATTTTATGTACTTATCAAAGCTGATGCAAAATATATCTTTCAAGTGGTAAATGTGAATTATTTTTAATTTTTGATTAAACCTATAATAATTTTGGAATTTTTTGTTACTTCTGAGATTACAAAAAATAAACCTAGAATCAAATTTTTTTTTGTCACTTGTTGCAATCACATCTTTTTTTTAATTTCCAATGCAGAAAAAAATCAGAATAACCCTTTTACACAATGCGTGAGTTAAATCAAATCCATTAGAATAGATATCTAAATAAATAACTTATTTTTATTAAAAATAGACATTACTTGAGAAAAGGATTTTTTATTTTATTTTATTAAAGTATAATACTTCTCACGAACAACTTCCAATCCTAGTAACCATGACTAGGAACTAATTGTTCTTATATTGTGGATCTTTTGAGTAAATATCATATTAAAATTATTTTCAAACCTTGATCTCCAAACTCAGTTTTTAATTCCTCTAAATTTTTTGAGATTATAAAATACTATTTCTTTTTCCTTCAAAAACAAATGATAGCACAATTATATTATACTTAATTACCTTGGACATTGTTCACATTTTTGGAAATAAAGTCCTTTGGTGTGCTTATGATTACTTATTTTTCAGTCTCTTTTAGAATAACATTTTGAAGTAGAAATTACTTCTAATTGACATTCTATATTATAGTTAAAATTTGTCAGACTTTCAAATTTTACCAAGGACTGTTAGTACTTTTAAGATCCTGCTGAGATTTAATCAAGTTCAATTGCAAGGTTTAAAAAACTATGCCACACCATTTGTCACAAATATGATTTGATCCAAAAATATTTTCTTTGTGTAAATTTTCTCTATTTTTCACTAGCTCAGATGAGAAGTTACATGAAACTTATCTAATAACAATAATAATAAATATTTTTTAAATGTATACTTAGGAATCTGTTTTGATTTATTCATTCTACAGAATTTTGCGTTTTTTTTTTTCATCTTATGCATTCTTGGAATAAGTGGAACTATAATATTATTTATTATGAATATATATATATATACATTGCAATTATAAAGAATTGAGGCCAATGCAAGTACCTCCAAACTAAGCTAAAAAATATTTTTCTTGGAACACAAGACTATTAAAAAGTGTGATAAATTATTTATAAATTATTTTATTTGATTAATGTGAATACTTCACATTTTTATGAATACAAAAATTATCCGTATATTGGAATTGCCAATGAAAATAACTAAAAATTACAAACACAGTATTGTTTGTCTTATTTAAAAAAATAGTGTTAGAGAATTGAATAATAAATAATATTATAGTTAATTTAAATGAATAAATAAACCTTAGTTAAAAAATAACCAAAAAAAAAAAATTATCGTACATCTACTTTCTCAAATAAAAACCAATTTTTCCATTCAATGTTGTGAAGTTGACTTCATCTTCAATACTTTTAGATATTTTTACTTACAATGACTATGTCATATTGTTGATTGAATTTAATTTTGTAGGACATTACATTCTTGTCTCACATATAAATCCACCTTTAGAATATTTTTATTTGAAATAGTGGCATTAATATCTTGGGTTGACTTTATTTTAAGCTTATCATATATACTTTTAAGCTTCATGACACTATAATTTGTTTTAGAAAGAAGTATATATGTTAAAATAGTAATAATAATAACAACATAACTTCAACATTTGAATTGAGTTTAGAGATAAATTATCTTGGTAAATCTTCTTTATAAATTTTAAGAGGCCTATAAGCTTAGGAAAAAAGAAAAAAAAAGAGGAAACCCTTAACTTTAAAATCCTTAGATTAGCTAAAATTGATGAGCATATAAATTATAGATAGTCAAAAGAATTATAATTTGTGGCCTTTCACTTTCTTCATTGAATATTAAAAATAAATAACAATAATAAATAAAAAAAAATCTCAAGGTGGTCTTTGTTATAATTAAATATTCTCAAATAAGAAGTTTTCAAAGATGTTGAATAATAATACTTAATACACTATGTTGCTTCTAAAACTTATTAGTAATGTGGTCTAAAATTTCTTACTTGAGAATATTTATTTCAATTAATAATGTTTTGGTACTTTATATTTCTACTATTCAAAAGATAAACTAAAAAAAAAATTATTGAATTATATATATATATATATATATATATATATATAATTCAATAATTTATTGGTCGTTGTTTCATTGCTTAAAATTATTATAATGTTTTGTGTAAAACTCATATTTAAGTTTATTTTACATAGTCTACTGACATCCTCAATGTGTTGATAAAGTATTTTTTTAGAAATGATTGTATTGCAATAACTTCCTATGTATTTCTACATTAGTTATTATTTTATAATCTTTAAGATCAAAACTAGATCTAATTTTGGATTGATGTATTGCAAAAGTGTCTTAATACTACCAAATACCATAGTGTATTATGCTATCTTAATAAGTTTAATCGTAGATTAAAAATTGAGTTTGAATTATTTAAAACATGAATATGAACATCTGAAAGAATATATAACAAATTGTGATATTGATATTGGAATATTTATTGGTTTCATCGTACATATAATTATTATTTTTAAATGATACAATAATTTCATGAGATGAATTTAATCTTCAAAAATATGAAGTATTTTAAAGTAATGAATGAAATGAAATAAAACATAATTCGATGTGCTCCTTTGGAGTCATTAGTTGCATATTCGATCACTGTGGTCATTCACATATTATTATTATTATTATTATTATTATATATTTTTTCATAAAATTATAAATAAGAATAACGATACAACCTTCTCCTCCTCGCCCGATCGAATTTTCCATTGCCACAGTCGAGAAATCGAAGGATCGGCGATATGGGTTTTGCTTCTATCGAGCTCTGGGTAGTGACCCAACTTCGAAAGATCGTTCCGTGTTGCTCAAACCTGGAGAACAGAGTGTGTTAATCGGAAAGTAGGCAGTGAAGCTAAGAGGGAGAGTGTGATTGTAGCGCCGTCGGAGGAGTAGACGAGATGGAGAATTCGAGGCGGAGGAAACGCAGCGATGGCGCCGTGAGAGGCATTGCAGTGAATCCCAGATCGATGGGCAGGAAGCGCAAGTCCAAGGTTGAGGGATGGAAGACGCTCCTTCTGGTGTCGGTATTGCTGGTTCTGGTGGGAGCTCTGTGTTGGGTGTTTCTCGTCCAGAAGCCATTTTCTGCCTCTTCATCGGACGAAGCTGCCCAGGATTATTGGGGATTGGCAGAGTTATCGGTGCATGAGCGGGGGCTTGTCGTGCGAAACGTGGATTGGGACTCAATTGTCAATGTATGAATCTGCTCTGGGTTTGTGTTTTCTGCTTCTTCTTCTTCTTAGTCTTATTCTTTTTGCTGAAACATCTGAGTTGCAAGCACACTTTTATCTCACAATTTGTTGGATTAATTGTGATTTCGGAACACGTCCAGTTTTTTTCATCCTATGAAGGGATCGCAACTCTTGGTTCCGCATGTTCTGATGATTCCATGTAGTTTCCATGGTCGCATCAAATTATGCTTTACACTTTGTTGAATTGGACAGAAATCAAGGAACAGATAGGTTTTATGGTCATTAATCTTAATGCTTAATACAATGTTGAACTTGTGCCATCTCTTAAAGTTTGTTGGCAAGTTGTCTGCAGGAGCATGGACGGCCGTGGAAGGACTCTGGACATCGACATTTTTTGAACTCAGTCCTGGTCTATGTTACACCGTGGTAAATTCTTGGCCTCCGCATCTACTGCGTATAATTAATGTGATTGAATGCTGAGATTTTCTCTTTTCTTTTTCTTTTTTTTTGGCATTCTTAATTTCATATAAGTAGGCAGTTTTCTTAGTCAGCGAGAAAAAAAATCTTTTTCTGTAGAATCTCTTCGCATATCCTCTAGGATTCAATCGATCATTGATGATTACAGTGCTAGCTTTTGTTCTGTCCTCTTGATGTTTAATCTTTGAGTTGCCCTAGTCATGCTGTTGTGAACGAGCAGGAATTCTCTAGGCTATGACATGGCCAAGAAATTTCGAGCTAAATTTACACATGTTTCTCCTGTTTGGTATCAGCTGCAAAGGTTCGCTCCCCTGTTCCAATCTTTGATATAAAGGTCTCAATAAACATCCGCTGCTTTTGACGAAAACTGTTTGAAGTTTGTCAAGTTGTGCTGACAACCAAATTGAGACAATGACTTAACGAGATGGTTGTGAATACTGCAATGTAGAGGTAAAGATAGACTGGAGCTACTCGGTAGGCACGACGTGGACAAGCAATGGATCGATGCTGTTCGTCAAGATGGAAGCCCCATGGTAAAGTCCACAGTCGATCATGATCATTCCATATTTTAGAACGAGACTGTTGTTATGCTAATTGAATGCTGTCATTGAATCTAGTCAATAATACTCGTTCCGATTTATTAATGGTGTGAAGTGTCGTTTTATTACATTCCACTGGATTTACGATAAAAGGTCGCTTTCAGTGCCCATTTGTGAGCAGATTGTTCCTCGCGTGGTGCTGGAAGGCTCACCTCTACATATGTTGGTAGACCCAGCAGAGAGAAAGCAGGCTATCGATCTCATCGTAAATGAGTGCAAGTAAGTTACAATTCTGTTTGCAGTATTCCCATTCCGAAATGTGGATCGTCCAATTTCGGGCATCAGCCATGGGCAGTCAAAATTGAATCAATGATATGTTCGTTGTTTACATCATTTCGTATTGAAAACAACCCTTATACTAGAAGTGAATTGTTTGCAGATACATGGAGTACGATGGAGTTGTTCTGGAAGCTTGGACGGCATGGGCAGTTTATAACATCCTTGAAAATCCAAATTTGCGTCATAAGGTTGATATTCAAAAAAAAAAAAAAAAAAAAAAAAAAAAACATCTTGTGCATGACAGCGCTCATACTCTTCAACGTTTTAGAATGCCATATTCAGAGGGCTCCCTGTCCTATCTCCAGCGTACTGTCGTTATGAAAAGTAACAAAACTGCAAAGCTATTGCAATTGCACCAAATTGGAGCAAAACTTTCTGATTTTTGACGTGCTTATGTTTGCAGGCTTTGGAATTTGTTCTTGCCCTTGGTGAAACATTACATTCTATGAAGGCGTCAAAGTCGGGCAGCGAGAAACGAAATATGCAGCTGCACTTCGTCATACCACCACCATCTGATTATAAGAAGGATCCTCGAGTTTTTACCCGTGCAGACATGACCATGTTGGGGAACTCTATCGATGGTCTCTCAGTCATGACGTACGACTTCTCAGGACCTAACCATCCTGGCCCCAATGCTCCGGCTCCCTGGATTGATAGTACCTTGGCAAGTCTTCGTAGAATGTCCGAGGACAGTGACGCTGCTCCTGAGGTTCTATTAGGGCTGAATTTTTATGGCAACGATTACACCCTTCCACAAGGTATGTATCGACTCAATCAAAAGTTTATCAAATTGCTTCTGGCACCTTCTGCAACTTCCTCATATTTAATCGCAACATGTGGATATGCTCGTATGTGAACAGGTGGGGGTGCCATTGTCGGCCATCAGTGTGTTGCATTGCTTGAGAAATACAAGCCCAGTATCACCTGGGATAAAAAATCCGAAGAGCACTATTTCATGTATGATGGTGAGGATGCAAAGCATGTGGTGTTTTATCCCACGCTGGCTTCTGTATCGGCAAGGCTCAATACAGCCAACAAAGTGGGGTCAGGAATTTCGATTTGGGAAATAGGTCAGGGTTTGGAGTACTTTTTTGACCTTCTATAATGTCCAGGAGAGATTGTCTCTGAGCTCTAGAAGTCCTGAGATGGCGCAGCTTGCAGCTGGGTTTGCCGCTCTCATTGGCATCATCTTAACTTGTGAACACGAAGTGGGTTGGTATATATATTTAGGTCTCAATGTTTTGGTCTTCAGCTGAAACACACTTCAGACAATACATGAATCTCATTCATGCGGTGAAGGCAGCTGGCTGGAAACGTATGTCATGGTAGTTGTAGGTTTCAATATTTAGCAACTTCATTTCACAACTCAAAACGGCAAAGCATTTTACCTTCCCTCTTGCGCAGCATTATTTAACTGTTGCAAACGAGTGAAGGGTGTGGCTAGATTGTTGCAGGTCTCAGGAATAATCCACCTAATTCGAAATGGATGCTGTTAAATGGAGAAATAACCAAGTCTGCTGTCTGTCATCAGAAAAGCGGCAATGTACTAGGCGAGATTCGACACAATCGTTGTGTGGTCCGTTGTGCATACTCCATTCCGTGAAAGGTTTCCTTCATAAAATGCCACTATACTGTACTGGATTTTTTTGCAAACTATCACATCTCTATAACATTTACCCCGAACCATCATTGTGTGCTGCACTGCACTTGCCCAACTTCACATGATTGAGCTTACTTTTTATCATGTCTGTGAGATGCATTCCCCTCTAAAGTTAAGTAGAATCAGCAATCAAAAGGAGACGGTGGTTTGCAATAAGAAATAAAATTTCAAAATTGTAAACAACTCAAAAAGTACATGGTATGATTGACATCACAGAACAAGTTGGAGGCATTCAACATACAGCACAAAAAATGAAAAATAATCATGCTAGCTAGTTACGAATATGTTATGAGGTAAACGGACGTTAGCTTGAAACTACAAACATAACTAAAAGACTTCCTATTCTCACAACTAACCCAATGACTGAACAAGGACACTCTAAACCAAAATGGCAATTCAAGTTATCATAACAACTTATACACTCATCTAGCAACTAAAACAAAATCAAGTTCCCAAAATTATGACTTCCTGCATGCCCTGATTATCTGTACCAATTGAAAACTGAACCAGTGGCAAAATTGGTGCCAGTAGTTAATGTTACATGCTCCTGTTAACCAACATCGAATGAAAACCACTAATATTAACTCCATATTTAAATGCTAAACGCGTACTTACAATGTGAAACTTGGTGCATGAGGGCATACACAGTACATCTAATGACCTACCACAAATTGATATTGTTAGATTTTTCCAACAGCACAGATCTCTTCTCAACCTTGAGAATTGAACAATGCTAGAGAATTGTACAAAACCGACAGATCTCTCAAAAGCAGCAAAGCATCTGCAAGAGGCCCGGAGATGTGTAAATCCAGATGTCCCTCCTTCGCAATAATAAAGAATCACTACTTGCGCCAATGAGAAGCATGTGGAGAGACTCGGGCCCGAATCATGGAAGCGTCAGAATATTTCAAACGTAGAATTGTTCAGGTTACTCTCTATTCTGCTCGATACATGGTAATCTCTTGCTGTTTGAAGTATCGCCGGTCTTCTTCATCAACCAAGACCAGATTGAGGTAATACTTAACACTGAACTTATTGTTGATATTCCGATAGGTTGGAGTTAAATCATAAGGACTCAAAAACAACCTGATTGGTATGGACTCCCCTGCACAACAATAGGAGAAGTTAGCTACAGTTGAAGTTTCTCCTTCTGAACACCATGGGCACAAGCATAATCATCACGGTTTTGCTATACAGACAATGGATGAAACTCACCTCGGACAGGAGCACCGTCCATGATTTCATACTTGGCTAGGGTCTCGCTCTCATTGTAAGTATTAGGACCTGATCCAGTAGACTCTCGCCTTCTTATTTCAAGCTCCATGTGCTTGATCTTGATTCGGACAAGTAGAAAATAGATTTTGCCCACAATCACATCCTTCAGGTGGTATCTGATCGAACAATTTAAGAGCGTCAAACCAATGACCCGAGAAGAATACAAGCACTATCTCAACACTTTCTCCAACACTTTAACTTGCTGCAGCAATTGTCATATTTGAGAGAACTCAAAACCTTCTCAAGATGTTCGAAGCTGACCAAGACATATTAGTACACAATACACTTCCACGACACATATTGTAGAGCATAAAGGTTTAAAAGAATTAAACTTACTTGCTCTTACTGTATTCAAACTCAATATGCAAGCAATCCTCGATTCCCACCTCCATCTGTCATCCACATGTTAAGGCACGTTAAGCCTACACACTGACACAATGTCACTCGAGCTACAAATATAGAACTGAGAAATATCGGCATAATTTCTGAGTCCTATCAATCGAAACTAGAATTAAGAGATAAGCAATTCTGGAGAATATGTAGATTACTCTAAGGAGCCGACCTAAGGTTACAATTCTGCAGCACGTTCATGTTAAAAGCGGTGGATTGAAATTACACTACATTTCCAAGAAACATTGGAAAAATTTCGAGGGTATTCTCTTCCCTGGCATCCTTTTGAAACACGACTTCCAAGCATCTGAAAAACATTTCCGAGCTTGGCGATCTACACGGACATTGCTCTGGCTGTCTGTGCAGGTGTCTTCGGCTTAAATTATGCTTGAAACGTGTGAAAATAGACTACAAATGTTGAATAAACGATATACTGCATGGTTCACGCATACTTACCTTGATGCTATTGTTGATCTCGGGCTGAGGTGAGTAGTTCCGCACCTTTCCAAACAAAACATGAAAGTTTAATAATAGCATTATTATCATTAATAGCAAGTTTAATATGCAAAGCCATACAAATCAGCCTCTCACGAAACTCCAACTTCAGCTTCCAAATCCCTCAAGTTAAAGTGATCAGAATATGCCAAGAATATGTAACAAGCAGCAAACGTTAAATTATGTTTGACGGTAATGACGCGACTTCAACAAAATCATACTACAAGGCGCAAAACCAGGTTTTCAATTCATGACACTGCCAATCAAAAGGGATTAAGAGGATTTAGGTAACAGAAGAAATTTAAGCGCGTACGAATGTAATACCCAGAAATCCTTATATTCTACAATGTTGGTGGCATAACTCCTGCTGATCGTAACCTTCAGTATGTACCTATCAGAATGTTGAGAGAAATATCAATGCCAGCACATGCCATATTCAACGCGGCATGCATCATGGTCCTAGATCGGTCAAACCAACGCAGATACACTCTACTCGGAACTCCCAAAATCAATGCCAAGTTGATACCACAATGTCAGCAAAAATAGCTGCTCAGATTCGACGTACAACCATCAAACAAGCATATTTATCGAAGTATATGAACCGTACCTCAATCTCACATTGACACCATTGTAAGACTCATACTGCATTTCAACGGTAGAAAATTCAAAGGGATACGTCTTGCGCTCCAGGATTTCACCAGGAACATCGAGCTCTCTCACTGCATTTAAAGCCAATTGTCTGTCAAAGTAGGTATACCAATCCAAGCGTAAAGTCCGACGAACCCAACAAGTAGCACATATCCACTCACCGAGGGAAGTGAAGTCGTAGAAACTGCCCCGATCGAAATATAGCTCTGCACGAGGATCAAAGGACAAAGTTTGAAGATTCTAAACCCACCGAAAATTCAGCGCCAGATATTTCTAGAGTAACCGTATTATAATTTAGCATGTGACATAATATTTTCTTTCATTGTTATCCTCAACATCCATGAAGCATTCATCTGTAATATTAGTGCAACTAAATTCCTGAACCATACGTAAGAAAAATATGTAAAATGTAAGGCCAAAAGACAAAGTGATGACAAAAATACCAATTTGCCCTAGGAGCTCGATCTTCACTCCTGTATGCTCAACTTTTTTGCCAGGCAAGGGATCGATTCGCACCTGCAAACGAACACAGTACTCACTAAAGCTATGAAAATCTTAATAAATTGATTGACATCCTGAACAACTGTCAAACCAAAAACAAACAAAAAACTAGTTGCAACGAGGCAGAAACCAGATTCAGCAGTACATGACACTTCATCGTCTGCTAGAGGCTAACAAAAATTGCAAGTAAAACCACTGACCTCGCCAAAAACGCTCTCTTGCCCCAGAAAAAGAGGAACCATGATTGTTTGCCCATTCTCTTTCTTTACACTCGCCTGCTTGCGCGTCTCGGCGTCAGCGAAATCAATAGATATACTGCAGGGGGGGCCAAATGCCCCATACAAATAATTCTGAGCACATACACGCACAACAGGGTATGATCTTCAGCAACGTCCCCATGATCTACGTGTACCCAATTTTAATTAAATTCTCTGTGTTAGAGATGCGAACCGAAAAAGAAAAAGAAAAACCTAAAAATCATGCACACGATTATGTGCATCCTGCAGGGTCATCCTATACACCAGATTGACGTAGCAATCTGCTAGTGGGCTCCCAAATCTCTCTACAGGCACCGGCGAAAACCCTCCTCCATGCACTAAACTAAGGATTCTTAAATTCTTCAGATTCCAACCAAGCTCTACTGACTCCGTCCTCGAAACCCAACAGTAACAGCTTGAGGATTTGGCATTTTCCCAGCAACCCAACACAAGCTCACCATTGCGATCTCACGCGAACCGGAAATGCAACGACCATAGCATGCCACCGATCGAGCTCGAGACGGAATCCGCCTCTGTTCGGGGCCTGCGAAGGAGAGAGTGGGTGTCTTCGAGCTGAGGGGAGGAGAAAGTCTTGGGGAGGGGAAGCATCCAGCGATCATTCATCCTTTCGTGAATGATATTCGTCACCCACTATTCATCTAGAGTATGAATGATAAATCGTCTCTCGCATATCATCCTTCTTCTGAACACTTTGCAATACTTCGATCCCATGTAGCTGGCAAAACCCTCATTCAATCAGGTTCTCATTAAACTTACTAAAACAATGTCTTCGATGCTTTAGTTTCAAACAAAAGGTTAATTTTATACCATTTTTTATACTAATAGTATTTTCAAATATTTCATACTTTTAATGTATTTAATGAATAAAAATTACTACAAAGTTTATAATTGTAACTATTCAAAATAAATAGTTGCAACATATAATCTAGTCTTTTATTTCACTTGTTTCAAAATTTGACAATAATATAAAAATTTATACTATTTATGATATTTTAAAAAATACAACAATAGTTTTACCATGTGAATCATGTGTATTAATGTAAAAAAATGAATGGGAAAGTATTGTAAATAAGGATTCATCATTGTGAAATGCAACATGCAATGGAGAGCATTGGTGTTTATTGCAATTGAATTATGTTTTTTGAGCATTGTTTAGTATTAGTAAGAATAAATTATTTTAAAAGATAATTTAGAATATCTCCACACTTGTTACAAAAATGTTGAATAGCTTACAACATGATTTGCATATAAAAAAAAAAGTGACTGTAGAAATAATAGAGTTGTATTATAAACAAATATTTGGCTGTAATGTTTAAGAAATAAAGATATAGTCGAGAAGTAGAATGAAAACAAATGATATGGTAATAATAACAAACTTGTATTATTGTATTCATTGTTTGTAATTATTAGCACTGTAATTAAAATCCTATTATTTCTATGTTTCATTTTTGTGGGTTATTCTCTCTCTATATATAGACAATTGCTTTTAGAACTTAAAATTAGGCTACAATAACAAAATATTCCAGCATTCACATATTCAATTACTACACACTATATTTTATATTTTTTAAAATAGCATCACTAGAATTAAATCATCATTCAAACAAATTACACATATACTTTTGATAAAGATACATTATATTAGAGTTTATTTTAAAATAAAATTACAATTTATTGAGAAAAACAAACAAAAAAACAAATAAATAAATGAACAAGAACACATAACTAAAGTTTATAAAACAGGGGGAAACATATATATATATATATATATATATATACCCCAATTTCTGCTATTGCCACCACAACCTTCCATCTACCACATGTCACATTTGTTTAATACCTTTCAAATTAGACATAATTTTTTTGTTTGATATCTTTTATACAATTGAGTTAAAATATAAATAAATAAATAAATATAATAATAAAATTGATTGGGACACAAGATTAATGATATATATCAAGTGGGTGGCATTATCAACATCCTACATATGCTTAAAATAGTTTTAATTAACTTAAAGGAATTGTAAATTGATGTAAATAATAATGGAATCTCATGAATAATAGTAATTACATTCTAAGAAGCTACCAAGATTGCCACACTTACTTGAAAAACATGTTTAGGCATAATCAAGAATATTTGATGTTTTCAACACCAATACTATTATATCAAGACAACTAAAAATCATCAAATGAAGCCATTGACTAGTTAAGATTAAGAAAATAGTGAAATAACAATGCTACCAAACATAAATAGAACAAAAAATTAAACAATATCACCATGTAGCTTTTAAAGTAAGTAACATTATAAACATAACTCCATATATATATATATATATATATATATATATGTTTCAAAGTATATAATAATGTAGTTGTATTTATAAAATTATTACAATATCTTTCAAAATATATATATCAAAATTAAAAAAGATTAGCTAAAATTATATAAATATAATTTTTAATTGAAAAAAATTTTTCTAAATAAATATATAATATTAATTTAAAAAGTCATTTATTAGTACTAATGGCATGGTTGTAAATATAGAATATACTAATAAATAAAAAAATATATTTAAAACACAAAATAATATTTACCATGCTCAAAATAGAAATTTAATAAGTGTAAAACCAAAAAATTTATTAATATTTTATTCTTAAAATTCATCATAATGAGATATGCTAATTACAAAATTAATTACAAAATAGATAAATGGAATTTTACTCATTTCTCAAATGCGGAATCGTCGTGGTGGACGTGGCTTCACCAGAGAGCACGACAGTTTTGAATTTTGCACAATCGCCCGCCGCCTCCAAGCTTCGAGGTTCGAGGGACTCTGTGAGCTCGGCGTGCGCAGCGGAAGTCTCTCTCGGCATCGTCGCATTCAATGGAGCAGAGCCTCGATAACGGCTCCGGCGTCTTGCAATCGCTTGCTATGACTGTGTACCGAAGAATTGGAGGTGGGTTTTTTTTGTCTCTCGTCGTTTAACCTGGAATTGTCCGTAGGTTGAGTTCGTTGTTAGCTAATCAACCCCTGCATTCCTTGGAGTCTCTCCATGTTGGGACCCAATTTTTAAAAGCTAATTGCTGATTTCATTTCACGCCATCCCTTATGTCGTGGAATTGGTTGCAATTTGCTGAAAGGTTTTAGAGTTGATGATAATCCAACCAAGTCAATTGCATTAGGGTTTCGAGTAATAGTTACGTTGGGTTGCTGTTTGGGGTTGTTGGGTGTGTCATTTGACATGTTTTTGCTGGCAGGTTGTGTTTGTTCGGGACTGGTTACAGGTTGCTGAATTATGTGCAATCTTCCCTTCAGGAATGCAATCGATGAATTATTGAAGCAGTGGAGTGTTGTTCTATTTTTTAGAGCTTTGGAGCGACTAGTGTTTGGCTGTCGTATAATCTCTCCCACACGGCGATTTTCTGGTCTTGAAGAATCCTGAATAAGATGGAGGAAGGCATGGATCGTAGAAGGGGACTTTCTAGATGTTAGTATCTTTCAATCCCGTCAACATTTCCTTACTTTTTGACAGCATGTAGTTATGTTTTTGGTATTATTTTATTATTAGTGGGGCGGGATACTCGAAATGTCATACTGATGGCACTGATGTATTGCAATCTTAAAAGATGAGGACAGCAGTGATGAGGAGGGGAGGCGACGAGATCATGAGAAAAAAAAGAGCAAAGACAAGGAGAAAAAACCTCTCAGACACAAGAAGGGGAAGTCATCTAAGGGTGAACACAAAAAGTCGAGGGACGAGAGGAAAAGGAAGCACAGAAGCAAGTATTCAAGTGATGATGGTTCTTCCGACTCCGAGATCAGCGAGGACAGGAGGAAGAAGAGAAAGCACAAGAGCAGGCACATAAGCGACGATTCTTCTGATTCTGAGGCCAGCGACGAAAGGAGGAAGAAGAGAAAACACAAGAGCAGGCACGTAAGTGATGATTCTTCTGACTCCGAGACCAGCGATGACAGGAAGAAGAAGCGTTTGCTGAAGGAGGCCAAAAAGTTGATTAAAAGTATGTGTCCTTCTCACTTAATAGTTCAGGTCACAAGTTGTGTTCCAGCTTTGATATCTGTTTTCATATTGTGCATGTTTCAGGTGTATATGAGATACTTAGAATACGACAAGTGATATGCTTCATGAAAACTAGTTGCCAACCCAAATGGAGAAATTACTGGAGTGATGCGCATACGATTTATGGTAGTAGGGTTGCATGAAACATTGAATCTTCTTTTGTACCTTTCAGCAGGAAAATTAATAGTCAAATTTCCGTCACTATCACTTTGCAGAGCACAAGTCAAAAACAAGCATCGTTCCTATGGAGCCTGCACCTGCTGGTTTAAAGGTTTGACTTTACACTGAATATTGAGGAATTGTATTTGAATCGGACTTCATTTTACTGCGTAGCTGTCATGACCATTTGTTTTACCGCAAAAATGTACGAAGGGCTGCATGCGTGTCCTTTGTGAAGGTAGTGTTATTTGATGCAGGATATCCTTAAAAACACATATATTTTTTTCTCAATCGGGTGTTCCATCCAGGTTGACAACATATCGGATGAAGACTATTTTGCAAAAAGCGTGGAGTTTGCAATGTGGCTGAAGGAGGCGAGGGGTCTCTTCTTCTCCAACTTAAGCTCAGAGGAAACGCACAAGTTGTTTGGTACTTTTGTGGGAATATGGAATGCCGGCAAATTGAGTGCCAAGTACTATCAGGGCATAAAAGCTGCCCCACGAACGTCTCATAAGTGGGGAATCAAGTTGGACACCAATGAACATGCTCTTCTCGGTGAGTTTTAATCTTACATGGGCTGTGTTCTGCAATAAGCTGACAAGAACTTGTGCTATAAAATTTTACTTCTTTAGATGCATACTGATGCAATGCTAATTTTATTGATGCCCATTGCATTTTTATTTATTTTACTTATATTTCTCTTAAATGTAGCGCTTGATTCTGATGGTTTCTTCAATACATGAAGCGAATGTGTGAAGACAATAAGTTACACATTCTTCGTATGTGCTTTTGGTGACAGTACGAGTTTACAGAGGCATCTGCCTTCCTACTATCGTGTTGGTCAGATTTAAAAGTATTGGCTCCGCTGAATTACTATGAATGTGTTTGTCTTTCACGATTGTTGCAACCAGGTAAGGATGAGGATGACATAATACAAGAGAAGAAGCTACAAAAGTTGGAGAGGAAAAAGTACAAGAAAGATCAAGAGGTGTTGATGGATGAACTGCTTCCAAAAGCTACTGGCCGGGAGGCGATGTTAGAGAAGAAAGCTCTTCGTCGCGAACAGGCTCGTGCTCGTGAGGATAGTCCTGAAAATTTTAAGGAGAAAGATGTGATGGGTGGAGGAGATGACTTTCAGCAAAGGTGTGTGATCTATTACATATGTTTGCTCTGGACTTCAAAGATAGATTTTTCTTTACTGCTCTTGTCTGTTGTCTTCGTGTGGCTTAATTTGTATAATTTTTCAATCTGATTTTAGATCCTTCAATTATGATTTTTCAGCATTGTATATGACGAACTTACATTGCTGGTGCGTGTCAAGTTGGTTACTATTCCGATACGTCTGGAAGGAGACGGCTAAGAGTCATATCTCTTTTGATCCCATGTACATGTTTGAAATACATACACTTTGAATGAGATACAAGGATTTGGTAATTTGCAGACTAGCAAGAGAACGGGCTTGGAGAGAGAAAAAAGCGGCAGCAAAAACTGAAGTTTATATGGAGAAAAGGAACGCATTTGAAGAAAAAGAGGCAGCTGCCATGAACCAATTCAAAGCAATGGTGAATATGTCAGGTGGAAAGATAATTATTCCCAAGCGGAACGACGCCACTTGATTTCCAATTCGTTCATGTCAGCTTTCAGGCTCTCTGAAGAGTGTTACGAGTATCAGGACATGTCGTTCATGTTTTTTTTTTAAATTGAAAACATCATATTGCATAACCTCTACAGCTCTTTCGACGAACAAATATACGGGAATGAGGATGCCCGACAAAGCTTGTAGTTTACGAAATCAGCCGTTGTGCTGGAAAGAGGAAGCGTCGTTGCCAGCTTAGAAAGTTGGCGAGGTCTATGAGTTAGGCCTCGAGTTTTTGATGGATGAGTTACTACGACCTATTGTTCAATGGACTGTCTTGAGCAATAAATAGGTTGCTATGAGTTACGTGGCGCTAGACAAGATGTGATGTGCTAGCAACTGCAGTATATAAATGCTCAGTTCTCACTCTTCTTGCCCCTCCGCCTTTCAGCTGCCAACAACTGTATCTTAGTAGCTTTGAGTCATCTTATGCTCTTTGTTTATGATCCTGCTGCAGAGGCGGTTGGTCGTAAGCCCGATCTGACCAACATGTGCATTTTTCTAAAGTTGGTAACATCAGCGACGCTCCATGTGGAAGGATAAAAGCAGAGTCTGCACACAACATGATTCACTGTGTTTGGATTCTGCCAATATTGCTTGCTAATGATAAACTTGTGGGTAAATCTCATTTGGGTGGTCCTGGATCGTCAACCAAACGCCGAGTTATGAGCACACACCAAACGGAAATAGATGGTATCATATTTTATTTGATGTTTGATAATCTTTGTATGATTCTTTGCCCATGCAGGTGCATACATGATACATTTTTCTTAGAATAGAGTCAATTTCTGGTGCTTAATGGTTCACATGTCCACTTTATGTTTGTTATGTGTTATTTGTCAAAGCTTTTCTAGTGTGTCTTTACAGTGGTTTTTCTAAGAACGAAAGATTTATAAAACGAAAATTAACTACCTGGTTGTCTCCATGTTCTGTGAGTTCCTTTGGACTACGGTTTGATGTTACCTATTAATATGCACTAAGTGATCAATACGTACATTTGGAAGAAATGCAACGATATTAATGATTCAAGATATATTGGTAGTGGCTCTTCATATTTTAATCTTTGACTCTTTCTTTAGATCTAAATATCCATAAAATGGACTAAAAGTTATAGATTGTACATTGTACTATGAAACCATATGTATAATAAACAATTTAAATGACATTGGTTTTATAAACTATATATTCAGAACTCTTACAAGTCAAATGGATGCTTGGCTTACATCAAAAGTACCTGGTTTGTTGATTCTCCACCTATATTTAAACTTTTTCTATGTGCTCATGTTTAGTTGTAGTTTCACATCGTAGTTTTTGACACAGTATCCACAAACTGCACCTTCATTAAGACTTACTCGCATTGAAAATATACCAGTGCACCAATTCAAAAAAACTCCCATAATTACAACTGTGAGAAATAATCAGTGTCCTATTTCTTTATAGTTTGTTGTTACGCTTTCAAGTCATCTGTTTCAGTGGAAAAATTCGAACAGAATTTTCGATAAAAGTTTCCCACTGTATTTCCAATATATATATATATTCGTGTGTGTGTTAGAAAACACAAAATATCGTGATCAAATACTATTGAAGACAAAAAATAAAATAAAATAAAACTTTACATGGAACAATAAAAAAAGAAAAAAAGAAAAAAAGAAGAAGATAATCATTGAAAAGCTCGTGAAGGAGTTATTCATTTAGCATATCAGAGATGCATATCCAGCACCACTAATGAAGACAACAGCGTTTGTAAAGATGACCTCATTTTGCAACATCTAATATTCATAAGATGTACGCAAGTTAATAAATTGATTTCCATTCTTTATCCCTCAAATCAATTAGTAAACAAATAAATGTAATAAAAGAAAAAAAGGGGGGGGGGAGGGAAAAAGTTTTGGGTGCTTTAAAGTACACACCAACCATCTTAAAGTCAAAAAGAAGGCAAAGAAAAGGGCACTGATACTTAGTTGGCTCATCTTCATCCATTCTTTTATTTATTTATTCACTTAATTGAACCAAAATGAAAGAATCACACAAGTGTTTCACTTCTTCATCAAGCATGCTTGTTTTTATTTATTTTTTCTTATATATTTTTTATTCTTGTGTTTGTTTTTAAAGATCATATTTAATTATTTCTTTTCATTCCACTTTCGAACCCAGTCGCCTAATCAGATTTTATTTATTTACTGATCCACCAAATCCCAAATCAATATTTATTTAATCAATCCAATGCTTGTTGAATAATAGACCTAATTTCATCCAAATCAGCCAAATCAGCCAGAAACGCCAAGCCCACAGACCGATTCCTTGGGAATGAGACAAATGGATTATTTCATACATCCACACATTTTTCATTCATCCACACAAGTGGCTTATCAATCCCAAGTTTGAAGAGGGAATGACGGTGCAACTCCATGGAAGTCCCGCTTTTGCTTCTACCAAGGCCCGGTGACCGCGTGTGGTAAGTTGCACGGGCATCGGTGTTTCCAGCACGTGGAGTCCATGACCGATGCCACCAGCAATTTGTCGCGTTCACACTGCGTTGGAATAATTAACCACTCAGCCTTTTGTGGGATATAATTAACACATTGTTTGCTCCACATCAACGATTTTTATTGTCTATCGTGCAAAAAAGTTAAAAGGACCACGTGATTCAATTGCAAAGAAACAATTTGTGCACACATATTCATGGGTTGAGTATGGGTTGATATTGTGAGTCAAATTTATAACTAACTCTCTCTTTGTTAAACACCATCGTTCATAAACTTTTCCTTTTTCCTTTTTTCTAATTACATTAGTATTAACATGGATTGACTTGTCTAAATCAATGGATTTAATTTCTTAAGTATGATTTGATGCTTTGAAAAACAAGAAAGATTTTAAAAAGTTCTCAAATGACATCTTCTTCCTTTGAACCTCAATCTATGCATTCATTTTTTTGTCTACGACCCACATGGGTTTTAAATGCCACAAACGAACTCTACTTGTGGCATAAATCCACCCTAAACCTTGTTTGGTTTGGTTCGGGTTGAGGACGATGTCGATGGGGGAGGAGGGCAAGATAGGGTCTCTTAGCTCCCTTCACCGTTCTAATGAAAGGGTGGGAACGTGTACCCGTGAGGGCTGGTCACCCTGGTAACTGAGAGTGGGCAAGGGAGCGTGGAACCAACATGACGGCCAGCCGGCGGAATCCAACAGCCAAGCCACGGATGAACGTCGTCTACACACCGGAACAGAATGCCAGGCTGGCCCTACTACTGTCTCGGGAGGGAAGGAAGGGGAGCATTACTCGTGTGGGAGGGAGCAAGATGGATGAATCGACATAACAATGAACACATGGATGAAAGGCTGACGGAAGCGAGGAACCTGAGGGGAAGCAACGTGGACGTCGCCTGCCATGCCAGTGTGGTTACACCTACGTACCTACCTGCCTGCCTGCATGTGATCCCGTCCCGTCCCGTCCCGTCCCTTCTCCGCGCGCTCTCTCTCTCTCTCTTACTAAAAGCAGGGCAGCGCGGTGTCCGTTCTGCCGGCGATCCACCGGGAACCCAAGACACCAGTCAGTAAGTCAGTCCTGAGGAAGACAGACACCGGCACCCTCCCAATTCAGAGGGGGTCCCCGTCCCCTTTGGGGCTCGGCTCGGTTCGGCTGGAACGGGACGGGGCGGGGGAGGGCGGGCCGACGTGGACGGTACCGATATCAAGGGACGCCTCCCTCCCACTCACTACGGGACAAGTTGACCCACGCGGATGCCACGTTGAGGGAGAAAGGGATGAAAGTAGTGGGGCGACGAATTCCGTCTGGCGCTGGAAGGCCACCACCACAACCAGGTCGTGAGGGAAGGGAGGGACGGGGATGGGGGATGGGGGGGATGCTTGACGAGGCGTGAGCTTGCAAAGGAATAGTGCTCTCATTATTTATTCTTCTCTTCTTCCTCCCTTTCTTCCCTTTTATTGTTGATGTTATTATTACTATTACTATTATTATTAATTTATTTTCCTCTATTTTTTTATGTTGTTTCTGTTGTTGTTTCCCGCTGGAAGGGACGATCATCGCTTGTGGAGTGTATACATGCATACGGATACTTAGTTAGTTATTATAACCAGGGGGAGGGGGGGAGGGAGGGGAGTGACATGGTTGCGATGGTTGTGGTTGGTGGAGGAGCACAGGGGGACGGGGATGGTTGATTGCGATGAGGCATGCCATGAATGCGGCCGAGCGAGCCGCGGGGGGGGGGGGGAGAGGAGGAGGACCAATTAGGGCCCCTCGAGGACAGGTGATGGCGATGGATGCCTGCCTGGATAGGAGGAGCCCCCTCTCCTGACTAACTCAGCGAAAAGAAACAAAGAAAAGATCCAACAACAACAACAACCCCAAGCCGAGCCCAGCCCAGCCCAGCCCAGTCCTGCTGAGCCGCGCCGCACCCAGACGAGAAGGTGACGATGAGAAGGCCCCCCTATCCTTCCATTTCGTTTGGTTTTGCTGGTCCGGTCGTGGCGAGAGACTCGTCGGGTTCATTGGTGTTCGTTGGGGTGCTGCTGGACGGTGACCCTACCCCCTTTTTTTTTTTCTTTTTCTTTTTTTTTTTTTTCGGTTCCTTCCCTTCCCTGGTCCCTTTTTCTTCCCTGGAGTGTTAACACATCTGCCAGGCGCATGCGGACGGGAAGCAGAGACATCTTTCGATCTAGTGCAGCACTTTGCTGCCCCTCCTCCTCCTCTTCCTCCTCTGGCCACGGCACAAGAGAGAATTCCCCGCGTTACATGTCGTAGTCTTGGCTGCCAGATCTTTCGCTTCCTGGGACTTGTGCGGGCTTCTCGCCCCTGTTTCGTGCAATGGAGCGGTGGTGTGCGTGGGGGTAGCCAGGGGCGAGGAGAGAGGGGAGGAGAGGAGAGGAGAGGAGGGCGCTTGCTTCTTCTGTGAAAGGCCATCGAGGCGGGGAATCGTGATGTCGAAGGAAGCGGCGTGAGTGGAGGAGTCGCGACGAAGTGTGGCGTGCATCAGAAGAGTTGTGAGGTTGCGTCGTGGAGCGCGTGCGAGGTTTTGCGAGCGGAGGTGTGCATTCGTAGCGTCTTTGAGGGGTTGGTGTGTGTGTGTTTGTTCACCGGGGTGTAATTTCGATGCGGAGTTCGTGGCCCGGGCGGAGATAATTACGCGGTGACTTATGGTATTCGAGGTTCTTTGTTGGAGCGGTAGGCAGCAATTGGTTGCAGTGGTCGTTTCCAGCGTTTGGGTCTACCGTTTTACTTGTAAGACGGCTTAACCTGTTGGTGCTCTCGTTGTCTTCACCCTCGATAGTCCGGCCCTTGCGAATACATGTCACACAAACAACCACACTCCTTACACGTTCACTAGCACCGTCAGCAACTGATATTTATCATTTTTTTGTATTGTAGTATATGTGTTACTGAAACTCAACTGGTTGATCTTTTTTTTAGTGATTTCGTGCTGTCTTAATTTGTGAGATTTGTCAGAAAATGATACCAGTATGTTTGTCCAAGAACTCTGGAAGTTGTTAGTCGGTATTTCATTTTAGGAAGTGGAATTCACCAATCTCTTGGTTACGATTTTATTTATTTGTTGTATTTTTTTATAAAAAACTATTGATCGAGATTGGATTCTGTTGTTTTCAACTCTCTATTTCGCTCAGTGCTTCAAGCACTTGTAGTGAGGCATTCGATCTGCAACATTTCGATGTAACCCTAAACTCAGGCATGAGAATGTCCTGTTCTTGCTCGCAATTCTTGTTCTTGGGAGGGTCTGAATCTTACATTTCACACAGTACTTGAAGTGGGTAAAGCTTTTGTTCAGTAGACGTCAACATGTTCACTATGAATCATGTCACATTTGTTTTCGTATGTGATTTCTGTTGACATCTTTACATTGTAATGTTGGCCAGAGTGACTGTGGAGTGCCTTATACATCATCAAGCGTGGGGACTCTCAAGTTTAGAAAAAAGGTCTCAGTATATCTGGTGTCTGGAACAATCATGGAATTGAAGCGACACCTGTGCCCAACATTTTCTCATATTCTTTAGGTCTAGGTTCTTTATTGCAAGGCAATCTCGGCATAAGTGATCGGTTTCAGCGTAACTAGCCATTGTTCTGAGCATAATCGGTAAGGACTTAATTTTATAACGAGCGTTGTTAGTGAAGTACCAATTTCGTACATACTATTCTTGATCCTAGACTTCAGCTATGATCTCACTCATCCATGATTGTTTTCGTAGATGTCGAATTGGGATCGATGAAACGTGGGTTCTCTGAATCAGTTCAGGCCTCATTTACAATTTTTTTGATTTAGCGTTCTATCTGTTTCATTTATGCTAGGCCTGGAAGACATAAGTCCCCAAGGCATGGAAAGGGTGCTTTTTATCGAGCTGAGCTAGGTGGGGCTGAACCGAGTGCTTACGCACACACTTCAAGGGGTGAGGATTTTCTCTCAACCTATACAACGAAACCTCTTTAATGTCGTGTGCATTACAGTCGAGTTTGAGGGTGAACGAGCATGTGACTAGATCTCCCATTTCGTCATGGTGGAGCAGCATCTGCTTATTTCGGGTTGAATTGGATTGGGATTTTACATGACGCATCATTATAGTGTGGTTAATGCGATTCTGCTGATTGTTACGGATATTTATTTCGTTCTTATAATCACGTCCGGTCAAAACAGCATAGGAGTTGTGAACCCTGTATTGTCTACCAACTAACTTATTTATCTTATGGTGTGGTTTCGTAAGTGTTGGTATTATTTCACGTTTATTTCGAACTGTAGAACTTCGACGTGTAGTATGTTTAGTATCAACTTGGAAAGAGCTGCGCGCTTTGTGTTATATGGGAGACTGGAAGAGTGTTATGGAATGGCGCAAATAACGTGGTGTTGGTTAGAACTTGGAAAGTTTACACTGCTTGAATGTCTGACGACCTCATTTGTGAATATAATCCGCTTTTATAGGAATTTCACTTGGTGGTTGGAGTGTAATGGGCGCAATGGGTTAGGGCTTGAGAAATTGATACTGATCCGAATGCGTTAATTTATTGATGGCAGGCTGCTATTGAAAAGACCAGGCTCGAAGGAACTATAATTTGAAGAAAACTTTTCTGGGAAGCGTTAGAGGAATGATAGGAGCAGTTGACTTAAATTCTCTCTCGCAGCCTTACAGTGGGTGGGTGGTTTTTTTTCCTTGATTTTTTGGGTTCTGTTTCCGCCCCAGCTCCTGTGCAACAAAACGGGATTTAGGGATTCATTGAAGGGAATGGAGGAGGGCATGGATCCAAGAAGGGAACCTCCTGTTATGGGAGGGAACCGGTGGAATTCCGGAGACATTTATCATTTGGGTAACGGCAGCGGAGACGATGGAAGCAGCAGTATGAATTCAAGGATTAGATTTGAGGATTCTGGAGAGTCATCGGGAGGGACGAGAGTAGGTCATCAGGAAACTGGGAAAGGTCCCGAGAATAGCAGGCCACCTGTACGGAAGCCCTCCCAAGTGTCACCAAAGCTTGTTGCTGCACGGTCCTCTGGGTCTTGTAGAGTGCAGAGACCACATCAAGGGTCCATTCAGGGACAGTGGAACGCTTTGCACGGTTTTGTTGACGGGCTGAACGAGAGTGGGTCAGAATCAATGGGCATAGCTGACGATGGGCATCTTGAAATGGGACTAAGTACTCACCTTGGACTTTCGGAAGAAATCATTGTACACCCTGCTCATGTGCAGACACTACCCAACCCCGAGTTCCTTCGGAGGACTGGTCGATCAGGACCCAATACTCTAGATTTTCTGACAGGTAGAAGCTCTGTTCAGACAAATGGTGGGAATGATTACTTTGGAGGAAGAGCAGCGGGTCATGTGGGAGAAAATACTAATATTAGGATTGGGCTGTCCGGATTACCGCCCATTGGGAATAGACAAGGTCAAGTAAACGCTGTTGGCAGCTTTTCTGGAGGAAGAAACGATTTGGAAGAGCGGGCAGTGGATGGCGATGGAAATTTGGCTTTCAATTCCTTTTTTATGGATCGGCACGATCTGGCAGACGGTGCGACGAATGCTATGGACGAGCGAGGAGGTGATGTTGGGACTGGAAGTATGATGACGAATTCTCTCTTCATGGACCGTTCGGATAATCGTGACGATGCACAGCACCAAGGTAGCAGCAACAACTTGGTGGGTATGACAGAAGTTTACTTACCAAGCGGAAGTAGGAGTCAAGGTATGTCACATGAATCTGCTGGTTACGGCCCTGACAGCCGTCACTTCAGTGCGGATAGGCATTCTTTGTTCGGTAGGACAGGAGGTAATCCCATGGAAAGTCCATCAAGCAGTCATGGGCATGTAGGTAGCAGCTCCAGAAGCTCAGCATGCAAGAGGAAGAGTTGCACACCTGTGGTTTCGGGTAGCATGTCTAGTCGAAATGGTTCCCCTCACAGAGCTGGGTATCGAGACAGTTATAGTGGGCGGTCGGGAGGTAGTAATGGACTCAGTAGGCGCCCCACAGGTATTGGTGGCTCAAGTAGTTCCCCTGAAGCTGTGGGTTCTAGCTCAACCCCTTCTGATGCAGTTTATCTGGGGCGACATACCGAACCCCTCGCGGTTTCCTCTGGATTAGATACGCCTCTTTCTCGGAGGACCAACTTCTTGAGAGAGCCTTCAGAATCATCTTCTGATTCTTTGAGAGAAGGTCGTTATGGGAAGTCAGTGGCGGGCAGTAGCAGTGCTACTGCAAACTCTCAGAGAACCACTCGATCTGGAAGCAGTGGAGTGGTGTTGAACAATTCTGGAGCGAACAATTCTCCTCCATTTCCTCGAACAGTTCGGCGAGCAGTTCCTTCACATGACAATCTTCCTCGACGTCCCGTCCCTGATTTTTCTATGGATGCAGATGTGGAACTATCGAGCAGCAGTTTGTTCGAGCAAATGCTTAGTGGGAACCAAAATCGAAGAAGTGAAAATTCATCACTTACAGGAGGAAGAGTTGGAGGCTCTGGGTCACCTCGGCGCAGTGAAGCTCCTTTTGGTATGAGTAGTACAGGTGATCGGGTTATGCAGAGGTACTTGGGTAATAGCACGCGAAGTTTGTTAATCAGTGGATCGAGTGGTAGTCAACCTGCGGGAGGGGTCCCTTCGGAGAGCCGGCTGCGCAGTCGTGTCTTGGGTCATCATTCCGAGCGAACAACTCAACCCTCTCCTCCAGCATCACAACCTGTATCGCTTACAATGCAGGCAGGTCTGCATGCAGCTTCTCCGTCTACACCTTCTCCATCGCGACCACCTCCACATCCTCCATCCCTTCGTGGTAGACTTCAGAGCAGCAGCTTGCAGTCATTGCTACCACCGCCATCGCCTTCGGGACCTGCACCTTCTCGCTTGCCCCCCTCTCCGACCTCTTTGAATCCTCTATCTTTTGCCCCTTCAATCGATACTGTACCATCACCTACCACTCTCTTCCGAGGTTCGTTGTTGCATGGATCGTCTCCAGCTGGTTTACGTGAGCGGGGATTTGTATCAGCAGCAGAAAGCCTACTCGGATTGCCTTTCAGGGGTTTGCAGATGTCCATAGGCGATGGAGGTCCCCAACCACGACTCGTCGCCGAGGGACTTGCCGAGGTTTGACTTTCAACAATTACTTTCGAGGTGTTTATATGATTGCGTGAGGTCAATGTGCCTGTTTGTACTAATGAAGAAAAGGCGAACTTCATAGCTTTGCACTTCGGGGTTTAACCTGGAGACTGGAAACAGTGGTACATCTGGTAATGTTTAAGTGCAGACGATGCAACCAGAAGTGTCATCACATCTGTTAAATCGGAACGTACTCAACCGAACTCACCGTTGTAAGGTTTGGCATGTGCAGATCCTTGCAGCACTAGAGCGAGTTGAAAGAGATGAAGATTTGACGTATGAGGTATGTATGAAGCTGCTGAGTTGTTCACATTTTTGTTTATTCCTAATGTTCATGTCCTGGACGCCGAAAAAGTTATCGAACTAGACAGCTTGTGTGTTTTTTCTCGAATAATCACAAAATCTGGAAGTTTGTTTTAGAGTCAAAATCGAATCAATTTTCTTGTGAACATGAGTATCTCTTGGTGTGCATTTGAATTGGGACCTGCTTGACGGTGCCAATTTTTTGTTCAGCAACTTCTGATGCTGGAGGCCACGCTACTGTTTGGAGGAATGGGTCTGCATGATCAGCATAGTGATCTGCGACTCGATGTGGACAATATGTCTTACGAGGTGGGGCGTTTTTGCACCTCAATTCTGTGGCTGGTTGTGTTAATCGTGTCAGGATTATGATCGATATGGAGATTTATTGAAGTTCTGTCCAGTGTCGATGCTGATAGCATACTGATATATTTGGATGATGTGGGGGTGGGGAAAATGTGCAGGAGCTGCTGGCTTTGGAGGAAAGAATTGGCAACGTGAGCACAGGAGTGAGTCCTGACGTGTTGGCGCAAAAGTTAAAGAAGACACGGTACTCTTCACTTGATGCTGTGGTGGCACGGTATTCACAAGAATGTGACATTAAGTGCAGTATCTGCCAGGTACTTAATGCATGGCTTCATTGTAGGGTATGAGGTGTATGCTTATTGGTTAGCTTGTCATTTCTGACCAGTTTGCATATTCACTGTGCGTATCACAACCAAAGAGGAGTGTGCTGAAGTCCCAGTGACATGTTTAAGTACGAATAATTCCCTGGTGTCTTCGAAATTGGTTGGCTTTCTTTGTACAGTTATTTTATCGATATCCCGAGTGCTTTTAAGATTTCTTTGACATGAATTCTAACGGTTCAACTCACGTTCGCAGGAGGAGTACGAGGAGGGTGATGAATTGGGCAAAATCGAATGTGGGCATGGATATCATGCGCAGTGTATCCAGCAGTGGCTCGTGCAAAAGAATCAATGCCCAATTTGCAAGGCTGCTGCGTTCTCGTAGATGTGTTGGTCTGATAAATTAGAATAGTTATGATTTGCCTTTTTCATGGACTTAGCCCTGGCCATTTTGGGAGAGCGCAGCAAGCTCATAAAGTCGTCCAGAACATTGAGCAGTGTTTGCTCAAGTGTAATACCGTTATCTTCTATTGAGCTCGTGTTCTCCTTCCTACAAATGTTATGTCACGGCGCACTTGGGGTTTCACTCGTTTCAAGTATTTAATATTAGGTTAGGTGTTTGGAAGCGTTTAAAATGACAAGGTCTTGTAGTGCAGGCACAGCATCACATGTAATATTCGCTTTGTACATAGAGCAATATGGTCTGTTTCCATTGTTACAGTATTGCCAACTGTGCCGTCTGTTAACCAAGTTTCAACTGCAAGTGCTGGCTTGTTAAGCGTCATTTCTGTGAGCGGATTATACGATGACTAAATCTGTTGAACTGTCGAGGAGTCAATGCAGGTGACAAACATGTATTTGATGTTTATCAAACAGTGAATCTGCAAACAGGAGTCTGATATTGGGGTGCCTCTGTATGTCCTGCCCCTGCCCGCACTCCCACTTGCACCCCTGCCCAAATGCGCGGCTGCTCTGCCCAGCCTGGCCTACCTGTAGTGTCTGGGCAGGACCTATCCTGTCCGTTGCAACTTGCCCTGTCACTGGCTGGAGATTAAGGAAGCAATCCAATTTCTCATATGGATTCAACAAAAACATAAAAAACATGAAAGTCCCGAAAACACAATAATATACATACTCAAGATTGAACCAGAGTGTGAAATATGGTACGTTTAATATTCAAAAACAAAATCGACAGAAAAGAAATGATAGCAAGAATCTAAATTATATAATCAGTTTATCTTTTATTTAAAACTAATATATCATGCAATAGTAATGGAATGTTGAAAATAGAAATCAATCCTCGCAAGCATAATAAATAAATAAATAAATAAATACGTAGATTAATAGAATGATATAAATTGAGGAAGATCATGAAATGCACAGATTTTGGGGAAATAAAAATAAATGTTGTGCATTAAAAACAGTTTAAATAGTATGCATACAATAATGATAATATAAAAGAGATCCATACAATATTGTAGTTACTAAAGTGTTTTTAGATGTAAGTCAATACCAACAAATTAGAAGTAGAGATGAAACAATTGTTATTTAAACGAAGTATTTTAGTGTATTTTTAGTTGGATATCTTTTTTGTATATTAATCATAAGATTTGGCAACAAAAAAGAACAAAAATGTTATGATGTTTCATAAAATTTTAATCTAATGTCTATTGTATATAGATTGATATCTTGAATGGTTTATTTTATTTTATTTTATTTTTCTATTGTTATTTGGATTGTTTTTGTCTGTAGGTCTTGTGGAAATTCCAAGAGTAATATTCCCAGTGTTCACTTAAGCTCACACAAGTTTTGGAAGTTTGAGAACAAATTTTAAAAAATAAACACCGCTTATTTTGGAAGGTGTAAATATTAATCTTTATAATTTTGTATAGATGATTTGACATTTGAAGTAACTATTTATATGTGATTTTATTAGTAATACATGAACATTTACAATATCTAAAATAATTGGATATAGTAGAATATTACTTAAGGAATCATAATTATAATTACAAATTCTAATTTATCATATGAAATATACTAATGACATCTTGACTATGTTGAATAAACCTTTATGATGATGAAAATTGATAGAAAATAAAACAAAGTTCGTAATAAGATTGAAATTATGTGTTTGAAGGTAGATCACATATATCTCTCAATTATTCATCATAGCAAAATTTGTAGAATTGTTTCCAAAGTGTATTTCAATGATGTGAAGGTTATTTCTTATTTGTTGTACTTTAGGATTTCCAATGGGTATGGAAATTTCGGATAAACTTGTACAAGCTATTGGAAGATTGATAAAACAAATAAAAGATGATGTTAGAAGTACTCTCTCTTAATGCCAAGTTTATTGCAAAGTCATTGAAACATTGTTGAAGATAAGAGACTACTTGAACAAATATCAATGTGCAAATCTTTGCTAGACATCTAGCCAAGTTATTAAAGTATTTAAAAATATAAAAACTTGTAGCAATAAAAGATTCAAATATGAGATATTATTTTGTAAATTCCAATATGTAGCATATAAAATCAACATATTGATAAAACATTGTAGACAACCATCTTGGTGTGAAGTAGATATCTTTCAAATGGATAACAAAGAGATATTCAGAGAGTTATTTTGGACTTGAAATTCTATTATCATATAACAATCCTTTTAACGGATTTTTTAAAGAAGTTGGAAGACATTCTATTAGTGTTATTTTATTTTGCTATCTTTGTGGAAATTAAACATAATGAAGATGAGCTTTATAAAAAATTGTACCATATAAGTAAAACTAGATATTTTTGAAGCTTATAGATTGATAAATTACATATTAGTGAGAATGAAGGACTTGTAGTATATAGAAGGTAGAGAATTGAATGATATAGAAGTATCAACTAAAATTCAAAATTTAAATATTTTTAAATATCCTATTATTAGTAGTCTTTTGAAAATATTTATGAAATAAAGTAATTTGGACTTTTGAGTGCAACAAAAGTGATGAATATTGAATGTAATTTATTATTTATAAAGGAGTTAGGTATCATGATATATTTAAGTCATGTAAAGTCAATCAAACATTTTTATGATTATAAAAATGATGCAAATAAAAAAGATAAAAGCACAATTAGAAACAATTCAAAGACATAGGTGTATCATGTGATGGAATTTTGCAAGTAAGTTTAAACATGTTAGAATAAAAGAGGTTAATACCATATTACCTCCTAGTTAATGTTATTTAGAAAATTACATAAGATAAGTGTTATATGCATGAGATGCAAAATATACATGGATGTATAAAACTTATTAATGTCCTACTTAATATTGTAGATGATAGTAAATTCAAGAATAATTTTGAGTGTGCTTTTCTAAAATTATATTAGTATGTCAAAGATTGATATAGGAAAGAATCCAAAGCAAAAAAAAACAAATTATATATGAAAACTTAAAATACAAGGTTTTGGAGGCATTAAAAAACAAGATATCAATGAAGACATATTCTTTTGAAGCAAATGTATATTCTTTTAAAGCAAATGTATATTCTTTTATAGTGAAATATTCTAAAATATTGTTTAAAAATATCTATTTAAAGATATAAATACAAATTTAGAAATATTAAAAAAAATAAAAAATATAGAAGACCAAAGTTACCTTCAAATTTTAGTAAACTAACTCAATTTATTAAAAACATGTTGGAATCTAAATCCTTTATAATAATTATATTTTATAAATATTACTAAGATTTTGAAAGCAATAGATTTTATTTTATTTTATTTTACTTCGTAGAAATTGATGTTACCAAAATACCTTATTCTCGGTTATTGAAGAAGCAAGATTATCAAAATCATAAACTAAAAGAAAAACTTAACAATGTTTTGTTAGTAAAACTTAAGTTGTTTATTATTTTTTCATATAAAAATAGATTAATTTGAGTAATTTTACAATGTATTTATCTCTGAATACAACTTTGATAATGGTTTAATGTCAACAAAAAAAAAAAATGTGGTAAAATATTCTTATTAGAATCTAAATCATAAAATATTTATTTATTTAATTTTATGATTTTTTCGTCTAATAATTGGTTAAATAAAAAAATAAATTATTGGGTATGGAACAAAATTTGATAAATATTAAATAAATATGCAAGAATATAATAAAACATCATCTTTTATTGGTATAAATGGAATCAATAAGATTTCAATGACAAATGCTATATATAATGACATAAAATACAAATATGATACATTATTTGTTTTGTAGGTAGTGTTTAAAATAAAGACAATGGTTTTTTAACAACTTAAAAAGTTTTTAAAAAACTTCATATTCAATCGGAGCCAATGAATTTAAAAAGAATAGAAGAAAGTTAAGGTTGTAAAATAAATTGTAAAATTTGGTAATAGATTACTTTTGATTTTAGAAGTTATAGTTTGGTATTTAAAGATTTTTTTTTTAATATTAAAAATAATATTTAATATTTTTTTATAAAAAGTAATTTAACTCAAGTACCAACTTCATGAATATTAGAGTCAAATGAATAGGAACAGATATTCGGTTTGAATTTCAAAATTCAAAATAATATGGATAAGAAATATTTGAATGAAATTAATAATAAACTTATATAATAATAAATAGCTTATTTTAGACTTTTTTATAAATCAAAGTTGTGACTTAATATATTAAAGTAAAAAGTTTATATATCTATTTATAATTTTTATTTTATTATTATATATTTTTATAATTTTTTGATTATTTATTATTTATTATTTAATTATTTTTATAATACTATTATTAAATATAATAGTGGTATATTTTTTTAACCAAGATTAAAAATTTAAATAATATAAAATTCTGGATTTTGAATAAAAAACATAATAGATTCAAACACGATTTTAATTTAATTAACCTTTTCTATATGTTATATAAAATTCTTAAAATTTTAGATTATGTCTTATCATGGATTATTGCACCTATTTATTTAAATTTCTAAGTTTTAAATCTTTGATTTCTAAATTTATTCAAAAATATGAAGTTCTTCAATACATTTAGCAATAGTAATAATCTTCAGCTCTTGCATATCAAAGATGGTCACAAATGTGAGGTTGCCATTTCATTTAAGAATAAATTCAATTTTAAGCACCAATTTATATTAAAGATGGTCAAAGAAATAAGGTTGCCAAATTTATTTGGTAGTAAAATATTAAGCTTAAACAATTGCATATATTGAAGATAGTTAAAGATACAAGGGTGCTAAATTCATTTGGCAATGATTCTAAGCTTAAGCATTTTATTATATGAACAAAGATAATTATATACAACACTTTGAGTGGTACAAATCAATCACAAAGTATGTAATTTTATCCAAATACAAATGCACAATTGACATACTCTAATGGAAAGATTAAGAATCTACAACAAATAAGTCAAGTTATCTCTCACACCACAAAGAAAGAATCCAAGAGTGCAAATGTGAAGAATTGAAAAAAAATCCTAAAGCTTTATTAAAATTACTAAATCACCGTGGCCACGAAAATCCTTCCAATAAATTTCTTCTCTCTCAAAAACACTCACAAGATTTGACTTGACAAGAATGTCAAGTCAAGGAGATTTTTTGCCTAAGTATTCAAACCATAGTTGACAAGTCAACTAACTAAAAAGCTAACAAATGGAAAAACTATTAAACTACATACATCCAATGGAATTTGGCATTTAATGCTATATCTTGTGACAATTGTCA